CTGTCTACATTCAGCATGTGGCAGGTGACCTTAGGGTCAATGCCAGACATCTCGTAGGGCATCCATACAAATTCCTCCAGATTTGCCCTCAGGAATCCCTTTACTTTAGTTCTCTTTTCTCTTCCTCGGCTAAGCCTGAGCCGAGAAGGAAAAAACGTTCTTCATCCCCTTGCTGGACAAGGATTTTCTTCAGTGCTTCTTCACTCTTCTCGGCTGGCTCTTTGCCGACGTCCTCCAAGACTTCCACGTCCTCGTCCTTGATCTCTGTTGTTTCTGGTTCTCGTATGCTGCAAGTGGATTTCATTGCTGCCATGGAGCAATTCTTTGCCTGCAATTGATCCCCTCTGACTTCTTCTATTCCATGTTATGTTGGGAACCGCAATAGCTGATGCAATGTTGAGGGAACTGCCCCCATTACATGTAGCCATGGTCTTCCCAGGATAGCATTGTAAAGGGAGGGCGGTGTCGATTATGGTGAACTCTGTTTTTATCCTCTTGGTGCCAGCCTGCACCTCCAGACTTGCTGCTCCCAGTGGCCACGTCGGCGTTCCATTGAACCCAACCATTGGGCCATTAGACTGCTCCAGGTCATCTTGGTGAAGGCCAAGCTCCTTGTAACACCTGATGTACGAGCACGAAATAATTCTTCTCGTATGATCCTGTTGATCAAGTTTGCACTCCTCCAAACAACGTTGCTTTGCCACCTAAAAACACAAACGTGAGTTAACCGGTGGGTGTGTGCCAGGAACCCCTCCGATGCCTAAGTCAGCAACTAAACAATAGACAATAAGCTCTGTATATTCTAGAATAAGAATTGAGATACTTGTACAAAGGTCTGGTCATGAGCTTTTATAGACTTTACTTTGGCACAATCCTAGTAGGATTCCAACTCTCCCTATGAGAGTCCTCCTAGGAATCACACACCCTACTCACTACCAACCAAGTGAGATGGTTTTGCACAATCCTAGTAGGACTCTACTCTCCTTAGCAGAGTCCTCCTAGGAGTCATACTCCTACTCACTACCAACAAAGTGAGATGGTTTGCACAATCTCAATAGGACTCTAACTCTCCTTAGCAGAGTCCTACTAGGAGTCTCATCACTGCAGGCCAAGTGAGTTGGCTGAACCCTTTACCTCGGTTATACATTTCTGACCGAACTGCCTTATCTCGGTCCCCTGCCATTCGGACTGTGTGATCGAAAGCCAATCTATCGAATGCCACCCTACCGAGCTATACACAGCTCGGCCCTCGCTATTGATGTTACCTCCTTTACCTCGGCTGACATCTTTACCTCGGCTGACATTGCGGTCAATCAGGTTATTTTGGCTCGGAGATACTTTAAGCACCACTGTCAGTCTTGACTCTGAGATGACACCCTGCAGAGCTATCCTTTAGCTTGGTTCTCCCCCTACTGATACCTTAGTTTTGTCTGTTTAGATCGAGCTAACTGCAGCAGTCTCCGACCGAACTAACAAGGACAATGTCCAACTTGCGAAGCCTAAACACCTCGGCCCATAGTTCGGTCCAAATCCGTAATATGAGATGTCTTATTGGCCTAAAACCGAGCTACACCAGCCCTTATCTCGGCCCATTGCGCAGCCCAACTTCCAAATAAGACTTTTCTAGCTCGGCCCAATTTGCTTACAAATGACCCTCTCACCTGACATACATGATGTCACAAGAGCTGTCCTGGTCAACTAAGATGCGCTTCACTTAGCACTCTCCAATCTGGAGGGATATTACCAAGGAATCGCTGTGTGGATACTGCACCATCTCCAGGTCTTCCTCAGTAAAGGACACCACTGGTCCTTGGCTCTCACCTGCCCTAGGCCTTTTTTTCCCGACCTAATATACATGTTGCAGGTGTTTTACCTTTTGGGTTTCCCCCCTTATCTCATTCTCATTTACCTTTGAGTGGATCACATTGATCACTCGAGGTCCGTCTGCCTGTGGTTGTGGTGCTAGTAAGGGTGGTGCTGTTGGTGCCTGGGGTAGTCTTGCCTACCCTTCCCTTATCCTGACTTCATCTACCATGTCCCTTAAATGGCCCTGTCTTACCAGGTCTTCTAGATATGTCTTCAGGGCTCTGCACCCCTGAGTCAGATGTCCAACTTCATTATGGTAAGCACAGTGCTTGTCACGGCTTTTTCCTATAAACTCGCCTGGTACCCTTGTTGGTGCTCTGTAATAGGGCTGATTGCGGATTATCTTCAAGATTTTGTAAACCGGAATTCGGAATACGATTGTGACTGTCTGAGCAGCCCTTAATCTTATTTCTGGTTTGTTGTAGCCATCATCACCTCGGCCTCGCTTCAGCGAGCCATTTTTCTTCTCTGGTTTTGGCGCCTTTGTCCCTGGCGTATCCTTCGTGGCCCTGGCATACTTTTCTATCCTAGCCATAAGCTCATCCATGCTTTTTGGCAATGTCTTTGCCAATGATTTCCGAAGCAGGCAGTCATTCTTCAGGCCCTTTTTAAACGACACAATTGCCACCTCTTGGTTGCATCCTAGTATTCGGTTAAATACCTCATAATACCTTTTGGCGTAGGCCTTAAGGCTTGCGTTCTCGCTAATTCTCAGGGCCATCAGGGCGTCCACCCTTAATGGCTGCAGTTTGTTTGTCACGAACCTAGCTACAAACATTTCGGCCAGGCCTTCCTAGGTTTTCACAGTTCTTTTCGGCAACTTGTGAAACCAGTCTGATGCAATTTCTCCGAAGGATGAAGGGAACACCTTGCAAAGCAACGGCTCGTTCCCGGTGTATAACGCCATCGAGTTCAGGTACAGACCGACGTGAAAGTTGGGGTCCGACTTATCGTCGTAGATCTGGAATCTCGGCATGCTAAACCTCTTCGGGACTTCGGATTTGTCTAATTCTACCGAGAACGGCGTTCTCGACTTGACTAGGGAGGTTACCTCGGCATCTTGTTGCCTCTTCTGTAGGTAATCCCTTAGATCCTCCTTGGTCCGTCCAGGAGCTCGGCTATCTCCTGACTTCAGCCTTTTCGGTACACTACTCTCAGCTTCATTGTGAGCCCTCTTTGACCTTTCTCTATTAGTTGTGTCGAAACATAACTCCTGCCTTTGAACATGCCGATATTCTTTGGGGTCTGCTTCCTTGGTGCGATGTATCCTTCTAGATTCTTTCATTCTTGACTCTCCTCGCCCGACCTCCCTTGAAGGCCGGTGAGAGTGTTTTTCGCTCCGGGTGTCCTGAGGAATTGTAGGGACTATTTTCTGCCAATCTTTTCGGGCATCTTTATTGGCTGCTGGAATCGGCGTATCTTATAGCGAGAATGGTGGTTGCATGACGTTTGTTCTGCATTATGAAATTGACCACCGTTTGTAGGTTCGCCAATTTGTCCGCCATGGCCTTCACCTCATTGTCCCTCCGCAGGCATCTTTCTTTCCATACCTGGAGGTTGTCTTCGTTGTAATACCCGCTTTGGTCCGTTTTCTTTGGCACGTCGCCCTCCTGGCCGACGTCCTTTCCTCCGTAACTCCCATCACGAGTCTGTTCGTTGGATTTGTCTTCTTCGACATCAAGATCAACAGGTTTTCCACTCCCAGTAGGAGTGTCGTTCCCAACCTTCTTTTCTGTCCGTCGTTGGCCATCTATTTTCCTTTCTTTCCCACAGACGGCGTCAAATTGTGTGTGTCAATTTCCAATCACACTGCCAATCAAGCACTCAGCTGGAGAACACTGACAGAATAGATTAAGCCCGAACGACCTGTCATAAAAAAAAGAGATTCTGGCGGTGGTTCGTCCACCCGGAGGCACTTCGACGATCAAGTCAGTTATCTCTCAAAGATAGTAAAAGAGCTTAACTGAATATTCAGAACATAAAAAGCGTACCTTAGACCTATGAGGGTGCCTTTCTTTTATGGCCAATACAAACCTAGTCCCAATAGAAGCCTAACTTCAATGAACTTAGTATTACTGCTAATCTTGGACTCCCAGTAGGATTGAGATAAACTCTCTAAGAGTCTTATCTTTGCCTAAATTGAAGTCCTCTCTCATTCTAGGATTCTTGTCATTTATCTGCTTATCCCGGATTCTGGTATCTTCGCAGATAACCTTGGCCTAATCGAGATTATCTCGGCGTCATGACCAAGACACGTGGCATCTTGGCTGGCACATCGGTGACACCTCGGCCACGTGTTGTTATGCAAAAATTATGTCCCCACAGTTACCTACTTTCCAAATCACTCTTTCGCATACCCATCAAATCAATAATTTTTTTTAAAACTCTCTCTCCTAAAATAATTTTTTAAAATTATTTCTGAAAAAAAAACAAATCAAATAAATTTTTATATATTTTATCTCAAAAACTATTCTACAAACACAAAGCAAACGCGGCCTTTTATTTTTGGTAAAACAGGTGAGACCGCTGTCCGCTAGAATTACTCCTCCTCCAGACACTAACGTCACTCATCTTCTTGCAGACACTACTACTATTTCAGCGACGCGATCGTTTTTTTACCGTTAGGTCAACAGTTATCCGTCAAAGTCACACGTTAAATAAAAAATGCTTGCGCTTCTAAAACAAACCAAAATAAAAAAATCACTAAAAAAAGGTTGATCGAAAGCTTCAGTACTGATAACAGAGAGTGAAGCCAACGAAATCTCCCACCAAAGACTCATAAATTTGGTTTCTCGAAGAAGATTGAATCCTCATAGCTCCAAAAATGGGGTTCTCTTCTCGAAATTCTCAAATTCAACTTCATTCTCAGATGATTTCGCGACCGTTCGATCCTCATTCAATAGCTGATACAAATGGTCTCTGCTTGTAGCGTTTGTTTAGTATTCAAAGTCTTTTACTTGTCTTCGGAGTGATCTAGCTCTCGGTTTGGTTGAATATTGCAGATCTGAGGACTCTTCATGTGAATTTGGCGGTTGGTGATGTCGGTGTTCGCAGTTTCTAGCGGCACTGGTGTGTGTTCTCGAGCTTCTTCTATCGTTTTGGTCTTCTAATTGGCTTGTAGTTTTGTGAATCTATAAAATTTGGAGCATTTGGTTGATAATTTGTGATGACTAGTTTGCTGTAATTTCCAAGTGGCTTTTGTTAGGGTTACTGATTAGTTTTTGTTTGTTTCGAGTAGAGAGAAGTTCTACAATTTTATTTTTGTTCGTTTGTTTGTTAGCTTCAGTACAGAAGTCGTTTTCGTGCACCTGACCTTTAGTTACGTTTTGTCTAGAAGCGAATGGATGCCTTGCGGATATTTGATTGAAAGTTATTTTATGGCTTGTTTGGCTACTGAGAAAGATAGAGATGAAGACGAAAGAAAATCTTGAATCTGCTGTTTTGGCTTCCAGGAATTGTGAACTTGCTTAAAGTAGCCAAGAAGTTGAATTATCTGCAATTAAATATTGTGTTACTTGGAAAATTTCTATTCGATTTGTCTTTTCCTCTTCCACTAATTTTCAGAAATCAAATAGGTTAAGTTTGTACTGGAAATCAATTGTTGTTCATTAAAAAAGATAAATATTTGCAATGCTTTCCAAATATGTGGTCCTTTTTGGATGTAGTAACGTATGCTTTATTGTTTCGGGGTTTTGTATGCTTTTCATACTATTAATTTGTCCTTCCATTGTTGATTGTGTAGTTTGCTTAATCTTAGTATGTTGATCCTTGTATTGTAATATAAATTGCAGGGCCATTAAAAAAGATTCAGTGGTTAATGCTTAAGCAGTTGCTTGTTTTATCTGTGTTATGCATCACTGGTGCTCATTTACACGATGATCTATTGGAAGCAAACTTAGTATCTCCAACAATAGCACCTTTTGCAGCGCCTGCTATTCCTGATCTGCCCCTGCCAGCCAATCGACCTTTGTTCTATAAATCACATTTGAAACATTTTTCGCCTCGTGGTGCTCCAAAGCTTGTTCTATCACCATCTGAGCCTCCATATTATGGCCCACTGATAACTGCAACTCACCCCCCTTCAAGATCACGTTTGTCGAAATTATCAATGAAGAAGAGTGGCGTGGCGCCTCCCAGTGAAGGCCTTGCACCTCCTCGCTTGGCAAATATTTCCCCAATACAATCCACCGGTGGAACAATTCCTTCCGGTTTAGCTCAGCCACCGCTATCTCCTTACTCCTCCAGTAAGATGTATCATTTTGTACTCTTTTGTTTTTGGTCAGGAAACAACTGGAATAAGTGTTAATTAAGTGTTTTTCTTATATTATTATTTAATCAAGTGGAAAGTATAAGTAGAACACTTAACTGCCAGCTTTACTTCATGAATAAATCGACTTCCATGACTGTGCTATTCACTTTCATGGAACTGTTGCTTGGTTTATCATCTTACTCTGGTATTAACATTGGGATTGGTTTCTTATTCTCCCAGACTGTTGTGGACCAGACACGGTGCTGAAACGAGGGAGCGAGGGTTGCAATTGTGTATACCCAATAAAGCTTGACCTTCTCCTTTTAAATGTTTCATCAAACCCAAATTGGAATACTTTTCTACAAGAATTTGCTTTGCAACTTGGTTTGCAGGTTCCTCAGATTAATTTGATCGACTTTTACTTGGTCGGTTTATCAAGACTTAATATTTCAATGGATATTACTCCACATAAAGGAATCGGTTTCTCTTCCAGTGAAGCATCTGCAATAAACTCTTCACTATCCTTGCATAAAGTTCATCTAGACCCTACCTTAGTGGGTGATTACAAACTTCTCAACATAACCTGGTTTAAACCCCTTGCTCCATCTCAAGGTAATTTTTACCTTACCTGTTATGCTTTTAGGATATCCCTTCAATCGTGCATGTCCAAGATGCTCTAACCCTTTGTAGTCGTGAATTGTGATATAACTTGAAATATCTTAGGCTTATGCCTTGTGATACATGCTGTTTTTGTACACTTTTAACACATTGATGAACTAATTTAGCTTGATGAATTTCACTACATTGCATAATTGCTGTAGTTACAAACAAGTGTGCTTTAAATATATGCAATCATGGGTTTGCAGTTGGATCAAGCTTTCAACTTGATTCACTGTCCTTGTCTGTGCAAGCAAGGGTTGCCCATCACATATTATTTTCTTCTACACTTGGTCTCTAAATGTGGAGAATGAAAACTCTATCAATAATGGAGGCAGGCTATATGTGATACGTAAAGGCAAAGACAACTATGTGTTTTGTAAGTCCATTGGAACTTATAATTTTGGTTTATGGAAATTTGTTCATCCAGGATGTGGGAAGCATTTTGTTCATTATTGTTGGTACCAGTAGAAGCTGCTCATGATCATAATTGCTTTTACTTGGCCATGGAAGCATAAGAGGGTTTAGTTTAGACGACATGTTGCATACATATAGATGTACTTTTTGTTTGGCTAATTCCACCGTGGCAAAGTATAACTTCTTTATTTGTGCCCTTGTACCAGTGTATGGGTTTATTTTCCACGATTCATAAACGTACAAAGGCTACAATTGTTTTTCCCGTCAATGCTATAAGAGCTTCTGGAGTGGGAATTGTGAAAATATTTATCTTCTTTTCTAATTCTGCTTTTATTTTTTTTCCCTCGTGTAAAACTGAATTTGTCATTCCCCATAAGCTATGGTTGTACAGTATCTTTGTTCTTGCATAAATAAAATATGCTATATCATGTTGACATTTGAAGAGATTAATTTGGCTTGTAGAGTATTATGTTTCCAAGTTATAAGTTAATATCATTAAAATGTTCTCTTTTATTTTCTTATAACCTTTTATTTCCCCCTACAACCGTGGAGGTGTGGATCATACAGATATTACTAGAGGCAGCTCATGTATGTGCAAACTGATATTTCTGTAGTACCTTTGTTTTTGTTCTATTTCTTTATAAAAGCTTTGTGACTTTTGTACAGCTCCTGCTATTGCTACGCCATCGGCAGAAGCACCTCCACTCTTGCCCTCAACTCCTACACAACTTGTCAATTCAAACAATGGGAAACATCCAAATTTGATTCTTATAGTTGGAATTGGTGCTGGCATGCTGATCATTGCTATCATTGCTGTCCTTATAATATGTTCATGTTCTTCTCGTCAAGGGAATAAAAAAGCATCTGCCAAAGAGACTGGTATGTATAAAAATGGAATTTAGGTCCATATTTATGTTATTGCATTACTTATTTTTTTCATTTTCTAAATGTCTTTGATTAGCGGTTTTGATTGATCATGTAATAGGCTAACAGCAAACCACAGGTAGAAATTGTAATGTCTCTAAATTTGGAAAAGGCTCCCGAAGTTTGCCTTGTGAAAGTAATGTGTCTTAAATGAAAGTTATTTATTTATTTATTTATTAATTTCTTATTTTGTTTTGTTTTTATGTTTTAAGTTCATTAGTCATAAGATATTAATTCTGTAAAAATTAAATCAGTTTCATAAACACAAAGAGAACAACTTCTACATGAGATAAGGCAGTCCAGGACTTAAGTTTGTTTTTAGATCCAGTTTTCCTTGGGATTTTACCTTTCTTTCTGTGGGTGTGTATCCTCACCATATGGAAATGAAATAATTTTCCTTTCTTTCACACAGTATTTGGAATCTGTATCTGTTTTTATTTTAAAATATGGTATTATGAAACTTTTTTAAACCTTTTATTTTGCTGAGCAGTAAGTCCATCTTCTTCTTTTCTTTTCTTTTTTTTTTTTTTGATTATCGAGAATGGGTGAGCATCTTAAATGCTATGGGAACCAGGAAAAAAAAAAACTATTTGATTCCCACATGAATATTTAAATGCTACTGCTCAGAATGCTTTTGTTCAAGTTTTATCAACCAGCATCAAAAAATTTCATCATGGGATTTTACATTAAGGCTTGTGATTATATATTAATGCGATAAATAATAAATCTCTAATAGAGATGTATTTATATTTTCAAATTGTAGGGGTCTCTTTGTATCTCTTTTGCTTTCTTACTTTCTCTCTTCTTTGTTATTATAGCAAAGCCAAGGACTGTTGATGCACTTCCGGCAGCAGGATCTATTCGCCACCCAAGCAGTACACGGTTTCTTGCATATGAAGAACTTAAAGAAGCAACAAATAACTTTGAACCTGCTAGTATTCTCGGAGAGGGTGGGTTTGGCAGGGTTTTCAAGGGTGTCTTAAGTGATGGCACAGCTGTAGCGATAAAGAGGCTAACTAGTGGAGGGCAACAAGGGGGCAAAGAGTTTCTAGTTGAAGTTGAGATGCTTAGTAGGTTGCATCACCGTAATCTTGTGAAACTTGTGGGTCATTATACCAGTCATGATTCCTTGCAGAACCTACTTTGTTATGAGCTTGTCCCAAATGGAAGTTTGGAGGCCTGGCTTCATGGTAAATTAAATTGTTACATCTGAGACTCTTTTGGCATCTTGTGATTGATATATTTATTCTGAAGAACTCAGCAAAAATAGTATCTATCAATTAGAATAGCTAGTTTCATTTTATCTATTGAGCTATGTTATATGGACTTGGGTACGAGTATTTAGCACACGTAAATGTCCAAGCATTAGATTTTCCTCAATCTAAATCTTAGTATATTGTGATATGCATCCAAAAGTTGGTATGGGTACTACATTATGTCTTAAAATACTTATATATATTGCATATTGTATAATATTCTTACTAAGATGATGCAAATTATTTAGAAATATAGTTTAAATTAAATGGGTTTTAGGAAATTATGGAATTTGTATTTTTCATTCGTGTGAGAAGCTAAATTTTTTTCTTTCCTATCAGATGTGAGTGTCTTCTTTTTCTTCAGACATTATATAAAAATTAAAGGATTGAAATGTTTAGATTGGGTACAGGTACACATATCTCACTCCCTTATCCACACAGGCACACTATGGGAACTAGAAGAGTTTATGTAACACAATTCTTGAGTTGAATATCTGCTAATAAATGGTCTGATCTTGCTTCAGGTCCATTGGGAGTAAATTGTCCTCTGGATTGGGATACCAGAATGAAGATTGCACTTGATGCTGCTAGAGGACTTGCATACTTGCATGAAGACTCCCAACCTTGTGTTATCCACAGAGATTTCAAGGCATCCAATATATTGCTTGAGAATAACTTTCACGCTAAAGTAGCTGATTTTGGCCTTGCCAAACATGCTCCCGAAGGCAGGGCAGATTTCTTGTCTACTCGAGTTATGGGTACATTTGGGTCAGTTTCACTTCTCTTCCTAAACTGAATCTCTCTCTCCTGATAATTGGCACTAAAATGGGATAAAACTGATAAATAGGTATGTAGCTCCGGAGTATGCCATGACTGGACATTTACTAGTAAAAAGTGATGTCTACAGCTATGGGGTTGTCCTCCTCGAGTTGCTGACTGGAAGGAAGCCTGTGGATATGTCCCAACCATCAGGACAGGAGAACCTTGTTACTTGGGTTAGTAAATTTAATATTTTATACACAGTTTAGTTGTTATTTTGTATATTTGAAACAATTTTTTTTTGAAATTTGAAATTTGAAATAATGGGGTTGCACTGGTTGGGTTTTAAATATCAGTTGTTACATAACGGAAATTTTGGCTTTCCAATACCATTATTCACTGATATATTGGCCGATATTGCCTATACTATCTGATACCAATATTTTAAACTATGGAACCTGCAGGCCAGGCCAATTCTTAGAGATAAAGATCGGCTAGAAGAACTTGCGGATCCAAAGCTTGGAGGGAAGTACACAAAGGAAGATTTTGTACGGGTTTGCACGATAGCAGCGGCTTGTGTGGCCCCCGAGGCAAGCCAAAGGCCCACAATGGGAGAAGTGGTACAGTCACTTAAAATGGTGCAGCGCATCACAGAGTATCAAGATGCCGTGTTGACTTCCTCTAACACCCGACCCAACCTCAGGCAGTCATCTACCACCTTTGAATCAGACAGGACATCTTCAATTTTCTCTTCTGGTCAATACTCTGGTTTAAGTGCCTTGGACATTGATAGCATCTCTCGGACTGCTGTATTCTCTGAAGATCTTCATGAAGGCCGATGAGGATTTTACAAGTCAGTTGGTGATTGTTGTTGGAAATTGGTCATTCTTCTGTAATCCACTGTGGAGAACTATTGTTCAGTTTTCCCCTAGGCAGCGGTCGTTCTACATGGTGGATGAACATTGTGTACAAAAGCCTCTTAGCTTCTTATACTCTCTCTCTCTCTCTCCAAATTTTATTATTGGATTGACTTTAAAGGGTTTTCAATCGATTCCTTGGCATCTTAGTTTCATGTGATAATGGTGGTGTTTGGTGTGGCTGTTAAAACAGATTATAGATTATAGCTTAACAGATTATAGATTATGACTTTAATCAGAAGCGGTTAATCTGTTTGGTATAGCTGTTGGATTATAGATTTAAGTTGCTGAGTAGTGTTTGTTAAATAAGCTGTGAAGTAGCTTTTTCAATTAATTTTTATTTTTTATTATTCACTATTTGTCTACATTTTTCATAAAAAATAATAATAATATTTAATAGTCCATTTGAGTCTTTTTCTATTTTTAAAAAAATAAAAAATAAAAAAATCTAAGAGTATAACCGTGAATTAACATGTCCACAGCAGAAGCTGATAATCAGAAGCAAGGGATGAGCAGTTTCTCAGAATAAGCTTTTTTGACTTAAAATAAGTTGTTAGAATCAGAAGCTGTTTGAAATAAGTTTAATCAAACAGTCCAAAATAACTTTTTAAAAGCCAAAAGCCATAAGTTGGCTTAAAAAAGTTGCACCAAACACCTATATAGTTTAGTGTTAATTTGGTTTTCATTTACTTGTGCTTTTACCATAATCAAAAAATGTGAATTACATTGGCTTGTAACGTTTGAATAGATTGACATAACAATTTAACAATTTAGCGCATCAATGATGAATGTAAGCATGTTTGTAGTAACTTTGGAATACAAGTTCATTTGGAAGAAAATAACGCTTCTTGATGTTGACCCCGAGCACAATTGTGATGGAAACATGAGTGATCGATCGTGTTGTGAATATAAAGGAAATGATAAGCTGTTTGATTTACAGCAAAATAGAGAATGGGGAAGATCACACAGTTGATCCTCGTAGAAACCCCAATGCAAATTGTAGGCTGCAGATTCAAGAAAGTTTGAAAACGGGATTGTTGTATGGTATCAGAAAAAGAGCAGATCAGATTTTGTGAATGAAAGTTATACATAACTGTATCTCACTATCAGTTTAAACTACATTCTAATTATATTATACATATCCAATCACTTGCCAACTGCTTGTATCAACAGGAGTTATTTATGATATTTGCTTAATTTGAGAGTTGTTTGAGATCAATTCACAACAAAATTAGGAAAGTAAAAATGCTAAATAAGCCAAACAAGCTCGTAAAAACATATCTATAAATCTACACCAATTTAACTCTTTCAAGAAATCATTGATAATATTAAGCAAATTAACTTTCTAACATTAACAGAAATTTATAGAAAAATAAAATATTTTTGGTAAATATATACTTTTCATTCCTATTGAGAAGAGGTGTTAACCTATATTCATTTATTTGTTTTGTTGAAGTTTTTAAATAATATTCTTGTTACTCAACTCATTCTTACAAATGTATAAAATAATTGCAAGAAGAGAGTAAACTATTGTATGCTTGAAAAGTTCATGAGTTTATATTTAAGATTTTGTGTTCGATAAAATAGTATGACTAATATCCACAAATTTAAAATCATAAAGGGATTTTTAATGTCATAATAAAAGCTAGGGTTAATTACCAAAAAATAAAAAATAGAGTTTCGCGTGTTTTTCAATTTAAATCCTAGAAGTTCAATTTCAACAAATTAAACTCTAGAGTTTCATCCGTGTTTTAATCTGACCTCTTCATCCATCTCCGTCATATTAAACTAACGGAAATCTGGATAGAATTTCAGATTTAAACCCGCATGTTTAAACACTTGTATCTCTTTTGTCGTAACTCTGTTTCGCGTCATTTTTGTGTCATTGGAATCACCTTATGGCCTAGTTTTCATTCCACTCTTCATACGCCTTATTCCACATTTTTTTACTTGCCATTGGAACTCTGGAATTTGGGCAAAAATAAGATTTTTTCTCTCTTTCGATAAAATTTTCAGATTCAAATTCACATATTCAAGCACTTGTATCTCCTTTGTCTTAATTCCATTTCACTTCATTTTTGCATCGTTAGATTCAACTCATGGCCTAATTTTTATTCCACCCCTCATATGCCTTGTTTTACTTCTTTTTGCATGCCGTCGGATCTTCGAAAGTTGGCCAAAAGTAAGCTTTTTCTCTTTTTTTTCCCCTTCTCTCTTCTTCCTCATCTTCCTTGCTTGCTGCTATTATTGCTTCATCATCATCATTATTTGCAAGATGATGTGGTGTCAGTAATGGTGGCGGTGTCGTCGAGTAGTGATAGGTATATAACTACACATAAAAATCAAAAACTAAATAGGTTGGTGAGCATGTTAGGGTGCCTTGGTTTCCAATCAAGCATCATTCATCGCATTTCCACTGCCAAGAATAATGTTGCGGTAGCAACAAGAAAAAAAAATAAGAAAGAGAGAGAGAGAGAGAATCTTATTTTTGGCAAACTTTCGAAGCTCCGACTAGAATAAAAACTAGGCCATGAGTTGAATCTAACGACGCGAAAATGAGGTGAAACGGAGTTATGACGAGAGAGATAGAAGTGCTTGAATATATAGATTTGAATCTAAAAATTTTGCCCAAAGAGAGTAAAATATTATTTTTGGCTGACTTTCGAAACTCTGACGGCAAGTAAAAAAATGCGGAACAAGGCATATAAAGAGTTGAATGAAAACTAGGCCATGAGGTAAATCCAGCGACGCAAAAATGAGATGAAATAAAATTACGACGAGGGAGTTACAAGTGCCTGAATATGTGGATTTGAATCTGAAAATTTTGCCCAAATAAAGAAAAATCTTATTTTTGGCCAACCTTTGGAGTTCCGACAGCAAGTAAAAAGATGTGGAAAAGGCGTATGAAAAGTGGAATGAAAACTAGGCTATAAGCTGAATCCAATGATGCAAAAATGAGCCGAAACGGAATTACGACGAGGGAGAGACAAGTGTTTAAATATGTGGGTTTGAATTTGAAATTCTGTCCAGATTTCCGTTAGTTTAATATGACGGAGATGGACAAAAGTGTCAGATTAAAACACGGATGAAACTCTAGGGTTTAATTTGTCAAAATTAAAATTCTAGAATTTAAATTGAAAAACATACGAAATCCTAAAATTTTTGTTTTTGTAATTAACCCTTAAAGCTAAAAGGGTCTTTGGTTATGTTTTTTGTTTTTGATTTCATATTTTTCATTTAAAAACAAAAAATAATTTTGAGAAGACAAAGGGTTTTTGTTTGGGGATTTTTTTTTAAGATCCTTGGTATTAAGATTTTTTAACATAAGTGATACTCAATATTTTCATAATATCTAAGGTCCCTCAACATCGATCTAGAGAAAATTCGATTTAGAGAATTTCTTTGGACACGTCACAGAGAAAATTCAAAACAGGGCAGAGAAAATTGAAAATTCACTGAATTCAAACTCTTTTAACATATATTGCAAACAAGTCAGAATCCTTCAAACCCCAAACATCTGTAATCTCATGATGAGCTTAAAATTTATTCAAAACCAAACCATGATAACCATTGCACATCATGGTTGGTGAGCATTGAAACCAAGAAATATACACAACAAAACTATAGATTTCCAAACCAGAAAATTTCTCTGGTGTAAACCAGAGAAATTTAATCCATACTAGATGAGAGGGTAATTTTGAGTGAAAATTGAGCCGAGCTATGAGACGGACTTTATGGCCCAAAGTATGACGGACTAAGTAAAAAGGGCCGAAAAGTTACTCAGGCCCAAGGGAGATAAAGTTACTCCGGCCAAAAGAAATGAAGTTACTTCGGCTCGTGAATTGTTAAGCTACTTCGGTCCGGGGGCAACTTGAAGTTAGATCGGTCTTGAAGGTACATCGTTCTTGAATTTATACCGGCTTTAGAGGTATACCGGTTTTGGAATTATACCGGTCGAAGAGTCGTTGGTTCGGTCCAAGCACACCATGAGTTGAACAAGTGAGAACCGAGATAAGGAAATATAAGCGGAAGGGCCGAACTAAGGATAGTTCGGCTTACTTTGTGGCTCAGCATAGCCATGTTTATCTCGGTCGGATGGTAGTTCGGCCATGGTGAAAACCATCCCACTTGGTTTAAGCAGTGGGGGGGTGTCCACTTGGTTTAAGCAGTGGGGGGGTGTAAAAGGATAAGCATTATCTTTTAGGATTATGAATCCTAGGAGGACTCTGCATGGAGAAATAAAAGTTGGAGGAGGTAACGTAACACAGCATACAATTTTGCTTCCTGAATACATTGAGCTTTGTCTATTTGTCAAGTTTTCTGACTTAGGCATCGGAGAGGTTTCCGGCACACACCCGCCGGCTAGCTCACGTTTGTGTTTTCAGGTGACAAAGCGACGTCGTACGGAGGAGCGTGGACTTAGTCAACAGGATTTTACGAGGAGAATTATTTCTTCCCCGTACATTAGAGATTTTCTCTGGTTTAAACCAGAAAAATTTAGTGGAGATGAAGAGAGAGGGATTGAAGAGAAATAATCAAACACTTGGCGCGCATAAACATGGGTTGAACATTTCAATCCAGAGAAAATTGAACAATTAGAGAAAAGTTCAATCCAGAGAAAATTGAACAACCAGAGAAAATTTCAATCCAGAGAAAATTGAATTACTCAAACACCAAAAATAGAGACAAATAGATACCAATTCCATAAGTTTCAGAACCAGAAAACTTGGTCCTCGATGACCTTTGAAATTTCAATATTCGGATTCGAAGAAGACACATTCTTGACTTCAATCTTCGGATCTCTGGAAATGTTTGCAAATTCTCCACTGCCATCAACAAAGGTCTTGGGGAAAATCACTTACCATGAACATCAATCCAAGCAATTGAACTTTGATTCCCACTCTCCAAATCAATCTGCAACATTAAATAAAATCGAACGAGCAACAAACTCCCCCAGACAAGTACAACAAAAATTTATTGAATTCATTCAGAGAAAATGATAGAAATTTCCCAAACAATTGATAGAAATTCGACTTCATGGAGAAAATTGATCCAGCAAAATTTTGGGAATAATTTTTCTGGACTTTCCAAATTTCTCAGACCTTCCATAGAGAATTTATTTGATGTTTTGGTACTGGGTTCAATGTTGTTTGTTAATGTGGTTGAGAAAATTTTCTCTGGATCAGAATTTCCTCTGTATTTTTGACCGAACCAAAAAAAATCCCTTTAAAACCCACATTAAATCCATTTCAGTACAACCACTGCAATTCAATTCAAGCTCCTTCAATAGCAACAATGGCACACAACAAAACTATAATACAAAACGAGAAATCTAGAAAAAAAATTCACACAATTTCCACGTCTAGAGAAAATTCACATAATTTTCATGTCCAGAGAAAATTCACACAATTTCCACAAATCCACAAACCAATAGCTGGCCTTGAAAACTTCATAATTTCTACCATTTGATTTCAAATACTGTCATTCACCACGGACTCTTCTCTTTTTGACTTAAACACCTCTATTTCTTCATCTTCAATTGAAGCCATTTTGGAATCTTTACCACCGACAACTTCTTGGCTTGGACTAATGCAAGCAGTAATCAACTGATTTTTTGCCGCTACATGAAAGATTCGGAGGCTTGAAGGCATGCGAGATTTGCGATGGCAGTGCAAAGAGAAATGAACTTGTCATTGCAATTGCAATTGGTCGAAGAAAGTCGGACGATTATACAATTGTATGAATTTAGGGTTTTGCATTAGAAAGTAAGTGTTTCGATTTAGGCAAACGGGAGGTAATTGACATACCTAATGGCATTACGTTGGCCACAAAGCTCCGGAGGGAGTTTACAGTCATTAACGACGTCGATAACACTGGAGAGGATCGATGATCTTCTTGATGGGCTTTAGAGAGGCCTTCAACGAAGACGACGCCCACCAAATCTTGGATACGCAGTCACGGCCCACAATTCCGATCAGAGACGATGCTAAGCCAGTAACTTTGGCGATCCTAGTTGCCATGGCTGGGCGGCGTTGGAGATGAAGATCGGGAGAGGAGAAAAGAGCAAAGAGAGAGGAATGTGCATAAAGAACGAGGGTTTGGCTTGGATAGAATGAAGATCAGAAAGAGAGAGAAAGAGTCAAATTTCTCTAATATGATATATATGTGTGGGTTTAGGAATCTTAGATATTAAAAAATAATATTGTGAATATCATCTATTACTAAAAATGAGAGAGGAACTTAAGACTAATTTTCCTACTTTGTTTTAAGTTTCATATTTGGTGAAACAATTTTGAAAATTATTAGAAAACTTGATGAATACTTTTTATGTAATATAAAAAAGATATTTTAATTTTTTTTAAAAATATTGTTGAAAAAATTATGTTTATTTAAAATTAAAAAAAAAAGGCAAAATGAGGGGGGAAGCGCTAACATAATCATAGGGATGCGCAGAACCTTATCCTGCGCACATACTTGCAGCGCAACCTGTGTAGAAGAGGAGGGAAATAAAAGGAAGATGAGGCGATGAGAGAGAAAATCTAGAGAGAGAAAGTGAAGAGAGAGAAGGAAGGAGGGAGAGAGAGAGAGAGACAGAGGTGGGTTACTCTGGGACTGAGCCGGGTGACCGAGACGAGTCTAACCCAACAAAATTCACAGCAGGGGTGTGTATTTGTGTGTGAGTGGGAATAACAAAAAAATGGAGAAGATTACTACGAGTCTCCTTTACCACTATACTTATAGTGAGACCCTCACAACAACAACAACGCTCTCTCTAACCCTAACCCTAACCCAACTACGACCTTTCTCTTTCTCTCTCTCTCTCTCTCTCTCTCTCACCGACCCCCCATTCTCTGTCTTATTTATATCTTCTTCTCTCTCCCCATCTTTCTCTCTCTACCCTTCTTCTTTTGGGTTCTTCTCTCCCAGGGCTCTTCAATTCTTTTCACGGCGACCCAAATTTTCATTCATCAACGAGGTATGTCTTTCTGCTGATTCGATGGGGTTTTCCTTCTGGGTATAGTATGTATTTTAGCTCTTTTGAATTTCTGTGTTTTTATTAATCTGTCATGTATTTTGTTGATGGGTGTGATATTAGGTATGTGGGTTTGGGTGATTTCTTTCTTCTTCTTTTTTTTTTTAATTTTTAATTTTTTTTTAAATTTAATTTGGAAGGGTTTGATTCATGTCTGTCCATTAATGAATGTGGTCACTTTGGTTTTCATATAATTTGATGATTTTGTTATAGCGTTTTCAAGTGATGGGTTGATTTGAATATGTTATTTTTGTTTCCAGGTTTTTGATTTGTATGCTTTTTTGTTGAATGTGCCAGTTTGGTGCACAATTCTCTTAGTTTCTTCATATAAAAGTCAACTTCATTTTTTTGGGTTTTAATTTAGCTTCTTTTTTATTGGTAAATACGAGTATTAGGTTTTTGTCATCTGGATCTGTTTCAATGTACCGGTGATCAGTTAATGGGTTCCCGGTTATGCACATTGGCCTATCTATATTTTTCAGGCATTTGGCACATTATACTCTTTGATCAATTCATCTTATGTTTCTGCTAGTTCCATTTTACTGGCTACATTGTTGGGGGTTGCTTTGTAGATTTATACTCCTCTTATTAATTATGATTATCTTTCTATATTAACAATTTTTTGGTTCAATTACTCTTATTTACGCTTTTTGTTGGGACTTTCCTCTACAGAAATGGGGGTACAGTTGCTTACATTTCCCCCCTAAAATCTTGCTTTAGCAGGAGTCTTGAATACTGGGTCACCCTTTTTAAACTCTTTTTGTTGGGACTATTTTTTAGGGTGTATTTTCTTGTGACTGTTTTCTTGATTTAATGTTATTCTTAAAAAACAGAAGGTATGGTTAATATTTGCTTGATCTCTGCTTATTGATTCCATATATTTTGGTGCAGTATTTTTAGATTTGCTCCAGCTTGTTGCTTTTATGACCATTCCTTTCAACATCTGATTAATATTGGCACTCGAGGAATTGTGTTTTAAGATCCTTTCTTCATGGAAGAGCTTGGGAGCCCCCAGTTTGGAGGTATAGGAAACATTATAAGAAAGAAGAGGAGCCAAACTTCCCGGCGACCTAGACCTGAGTCACTGCAGTTTTCTGAAAGTCATGATCATTCACCCTTAACATTGACTCCGGCTTTGGATGATGTGAGCAAGGTTTCCAGTGATGAGAATACAGGGGGCGACACTAATTCTAGGAGGAAAGAGTTCAATCTTAATCGGTGTGTTTTGAAGGGTTCTGCTAGCAAAGCAGGTGGATACCCTCATAAGAGGATTAAGAAGGATGGGTCATCTGGTTTGTCATATGGTAATGGAGGTTTGGAAGATAGCATTGATCAGGGAGGGAGTGGGTTGAATCAGAGACAGTGTAGTGAAGAAATCTCCACCCCTGCTAAGTGGAAAAGCACAAGCAAGACAAAGGGAAGCTTGGAATTGCGGTCTACAACTTCAGATATACATGATGGAAGGAATGGTGAAATCCCAGGTTCAGAACATCCAAGAATGAATGGGAATGAACTTGGAAATAATAAGCTTAAAAAGGTTAAGCTTAAGGTTGGTGGTGTCACATCTACGATTCAAACAAAGTCTAATTCACAAGGTGCATCAGGTGGTGGGTATTCTACAAAAAATTCTAGAACTTCAGATGCTCCTCGATCACGTCCTAAGCTTATTCTCCAGGTTTCTAACAAATGCTCCTTGGCTGAATTTATGATTCTGTAAATTCTGTGCATGATTGTGTATGTGAGTTATCAATTTAAGCTTGAGTGTCCCACATGAGTGATGCCTTATAATGTTGTGTTGAATACATGCTTGTCATGAGGAGGGTTAATGCAAATAGCCTTGATTTGCATACCTATTTATTTCATCTTACCTTTTCTTCAGTCCTTTTTGATAAAGGAAAACTGAATTTTAGAAACATTGGTGAAAGGAAAAATGAATATGTTTGGTTTCCAAAGACTGAAAAAATCATTTCAACATGCTAAGTTTGTATTGGCCTCAACATTATTCCCACAACAAAACAGCATAAGGATTTATTTCTATGGAGAGAGAGAGAGAGAGAGATATTCAGTACACCTTTAGTTCTATGCGTTTTGTCCCTTTTTGGGCTCCAACTTTTCAATTGTGTCAATTTACTCCCCAAATGCAAAATGTGTATTTAGGTGGTCCCCCAACTGATGCTGTCCAAAACTAATGATGGAATCGGGGATGGAGATGTGCCCTCAGTCTCGATCAAAAAAAGAAAAGAGATATTCCCTCAGTCATTAAGATAAAATGTCTAAAATACTCATGATTCCGACAGTGTCAGGTTTGGGCACCAAATTAAGACACATTTTGTGTTTTGGGGACTGAATTGACGCAATTGAAAAATTGTCAAAATCACACGTAATGCATATTACAAGAACCAAAAGTGTAATTAACCCCCCAAAAGAAGGTACAGAATATGCAAATCAAGTAATATATTTAATTGACATATTCTTAATTTGTTCACTTGATCCTTGGGATTAAACTGTGACATATGTCCTTTGACTGTACTATATGTGATTCAATAAGAATGGCAAATAAATCTTTTGTATTTATGCGTGTTAAATAGTCAGTTGGATCTTTTTGTTTTACGTTAACATTTGGAGTCCCTGCAATATTTCATTTTTAACATTTTTTTTCCCTCAATTCCAGGACAATTCTGATGATGATAATTCTCCTCCGTATAAAAACAGTGGCATGCTAGGTATTCCGTGGAAGGATTTCTCAAGAGACAGTTCTACTTGGGCAAAGGAGGATTCTTCCATGGGGAAGATGCCCAGCAAGAATGCATCTGGAAACCAAGTTGAGAAATCAGAGCCAGTTCGTAAGAGCAAGAGGGTGCCAAAGAGACGTGTATTGGATGGGGCATTTGACGAAGATGATGAAGATGATGAGATTAGATACCTTGAGAAACTGAGAACTTTTAAGATTGCTGCTGGAAGGGAAGATTTTGAGGAAGAATCAATCAAGAAACAACAACGAATTTCTAGGGTTTCTAAGAATGGTAAGTGTGATGAGATTTTGGAAGATTTTGCCTCAATGTCAAGTAAAGACGGTAAAAAGAAGTCCCGATCAGAAAGAGGATCCGAGGACACAGATTATGATGAGGAAGAAGAACTGGTGTCCGATGGTGAGCCTGGAGGCAACAAAAAGAAGAAACTGAGGAACGATTCCATTGATTCGTCAATTGAAAGTAAGAGGGAACCGGCTCTCACAACTCGCCAGCGGGCCCTTTTGAACAAAGATGCTTCTTCTGCATCTGGTGCAAGTGTAATTGAATTCCCCAGTGGATTACCACCCGTCCCTCCTCGAAGTTAGTACCTATTGCATTTTTTTTGTTGTTTTTGCCTTTCTAAAACCTCTGTGAATGTTTGTAAGAGTATCTTTGCTCAATTAACTTTTTTAATTTGTGCCTGGTTGGTCACCACAGAGCAAAAGGAGAAGCTTTCAGAAACGGAGCAGCAGCTGAAGAAAGCTGAGGCTGCTCAAAGACGTAGAGTGCAAGTTGAGAAGGCGGCTCGGGAATCAGAGGTTTGCCTTTTGTTTTTGTTCTATTTCCTATTGTTTAACTTTTATGCTATTGAGATCTTCTGAAGTGGAAATGAGCATGATTGATGAATTTTCTATAGGCTGAGGCAATTAGGAAAATACTTGGGCAAGATTCCAGTCGGAAGAAGCGAGAAGATAAAATAAAGAAGCGCCAGGAAGAATTGGCACAGGTATATTATGAGCCTCAGATAATTTCTCTTCTTCTCTATGTTATGATGAAGTTAGATGTATTTTAATTTTGTTATTAATATTGTATTATGCAGGAGAGGGCTGCCAATGCACTGATGCTTCCTTCAAGCACCATTAGATATGTCACAGGCCCTACTGGGACTATTGTTACATTCTCAAAGGATATGGGGTTGCCTAGCATTTTTTACTCCAAACCTTGCAGGCAGGACTTTCTTTCTTTCTTTTTGTTTTGGCTTCAGTTATCTTTGAAACTGTGGATGGTGTCTTCTTGAAACTGTCCACATACTGTCATACACCTTCACGTGAAAAATGTGGATTTGTATGTGGATTTTCAGTTATTTTTATGTGAAAGAGGTTTGATGATTTTTATGTGGATTTTCAGTTATCCTCCCCCGCGTGAAAAATGTGCTGGCCCATCTTGTACCAACCCATACAAGTACCGAGATTCGAAGTCCAAACTTCCTCTTTGCAGTCTCCATTGTTACAAGGTGGTTCATGAACAGCTGCAGCCTGAAACTACCGGCTAATGTTGCTATTATCTTGACCATTCCCTGGTGTAGGTGACCTGCATATTCATGTCAATATATCTTGTATTGAGAGTAGTCCTGAAACATATTTTATATAATTGCATAATGTTGAGATGTATAGGAATTGCAATTCGGTTACATGCTGTAATACACAGCTGGAAAATTCAATATACATGTGGAATTCTCCTCATGCCCTCTGATCCTTATTTGGTTGATACTTGGACCTTGTTATGAGCATCTTTTTGTTGTGGTTCTCTATGCTTTTCTTGAGCCAATGGCAGCTTACAAGCATTTGGTTTGACAAATGCTTTTGGTAAAGAAGACATTCAGGTCATGCTTGCTCAATTGTTCGTAGAGAATGAGTTTTCTCATTTGTGATTGTTGGGGAAGTCGGTGTTAGAGATCCTTCGAACATGCTTATGTTTTCTATTCCTTGTTTTTGTAAAGTGAGAAGTTTGATTTCATGAATAATAGTTGTGTGCAACAAGTGTAACATGTGGAATAGCTTCTATTAAACTTGCTTACTTCAAGAGATAACAACCTGCTCAAAATTTGAGAGTGCTCATATTTCATGGTACTACGTCCTAGATTTTGAAGTCATGTCAATTGACCAGAGATTTTGAAGTCATGTCAATTGACCAGTTTTGTTGCGTACATGGTGTTCAATATGTACCATCCCAGCATTGGTTGATCCCTTTTTTGGGGGGTCTTGATGTTTGATCCTTGCACCTGCAGCACTTGGCAGGATGACAAAATTGGGCCATTTTGAACCCACAATGCCCCAAAAATAAAGCCTAATTTGACAAAGAAATGGTGTGTTTGGATGCAATTTTCCAAAGATAGTATGGGTTTGAAACACACCAATTGCCTGGGGAAGTGAGGTGAATCATCTTTTTAGAGATTACCAGCCAATCATGTATAGTTGGTTGGTTTTATTTTCTCTAATGTAACTCTCCCGACAGTGTATTTGGTGGTGTCATCAGTCTCAAATGGCTTCATTGGCATTATGTGACTAGGAATGACAATTTCTTTTTGTCTCACCTTGTACGAGTTTGGCCACCCCAACGAGGAAACAAGGCGGGAATGAGTGTTTTTCCTCCCCATCCCGTTTTACCCCGTCTAATATTTATTAAATATATAATATAATATATAATTATAATAAATTTAAGTACTAAATTATTATACTAAACATTTATTTTTATTTTTTATTTGACGTTTGGTAAGTGTCATTACTTGTAGATTATTATTCGTCATGTAATATCATTTTTCATTTTTATTAATAAAATTATAAAATTAACTCATTACCGTCTCATTTCTATTATCTTTTGATTTATCTTGTCCTTGATATGATTTGCGATAGGAACGAGACATTACAAACTTGTCATTTCCCGATTTTAGATGTGATTGCAAAAAGAAATCAAAGTCATTAAAATTTGAGACTAGATGGGACACTACAAACTTGTCCTCTCCCCATTCTAAATGTGATTGCAAAAAGAAATCAAAGCCATTAGAAATACAAAATCTGTGGTCATTTCTCTGCTCACCTCATCTATAGTTTGGATTTGTAGATAAGATCATAATAACATGTTTTAGGGGAGTAGTTGCATATAAAAACAATAAATTAGGGGAGGAGCTACTTTGACAGGTAGAGAAAAGAAACAAGAGTGTAATGTTATAGATATCGAGTAACCTCAATTGTTAAGAACTTGTGAAGCTGTTTATCTCATCATGAGTTCAATCAAGTAAGCTCCTCCCTCCACCAATACCTCCTCTCCTCACGTAGTTAGATTAGATAAATAAATGAATTTCACTGAATTTCTTTTTTAAATTTAAAAAAAATACTGCAAAATTTATAATTATGTTGGATGTTTTTAAAATTTCAACTTAATCATTTTTATCAATAATTCTTTAGTCATAAAAATTAAAAAAATAATGTTACATATTTTTATTTATTTTAAGTCTTCACTCCATCTTTATTAGTTATAATTCATTTAATCTTATTAAGGCGTCTTTGAGAAGGTAAAAAAAAAAATCAACTTATTGATTTATTTAGGTTATATCATCTCTCTATATTTTTTTATATATTTTTTCATAATAAACCAATAAACTAAAAAAAAGTCACTTTTCAAAATAGGCTTAAAAAGGACGTATTCATTTAGGTTGCATTTTGCAGAGTTTTCTAAATATGATTTGAGAATAGGAGTTGTATTTTGAGTTTGTAAGTTTTGGAATTATGATTTGAGTGTAGAAAATTTGTTTGGTGAAATAGTTTTGAATTGAATGGAGAATTTTTGATGTGACATATGATATTTGATACAAAAACTTACAACTCATAATCAAATATACAACTCAAATTTCTATTAAAGCTTATAATTTTTTTTAAAAAATTCAAAAAATATTTTTTTCGAATAAATAAAAATTAACATATGTCAATTGCACAAATATATATATATATATATATTTGCATTGTTTCGGTGAACCGGCCAAACGACCGGTTAATCCAAATTTTTCCGCCTTCGACCGAGTTTTCAAAAGTGAGTATGGAATTATAATTTGAAACTCCTAAACAAATATCATGTTCAAAATAAGCTGTGGAGAGCTGTACCAAATTAATCTTTGCTAAAAAAGACATTTTTATAATTATATCAAAACTTTGAAACTTGCATTATCTATTTATTTATTTTATTTTTTATAAATCTCAAAAAGTTCACCAAAAATTAAAGAGTTACAAATTTGTAAGAAGGAAAATTAAATTAAAGCATGATTTATCATTCTACAATAATTTGAAATAAATAACCCGAAACTTTGTAAAAAAAAAAAAAAATAATTAATTAATGGTAGTGAATTAATTAATTTTAGATTTAGCTCGAAAGATCTATATATAGATAAGTATTTCCTTGGTTTAATTACCATTTTTGGGAAAAATATTTAGGACTTTTTAGTGTTCTTGACTCTCTCTATATATATATATAGGATTCATATCATGAGTAATTTAGATTTGTAGAGTCTTGTGAGGGTAAGATCTCAATCATTGCTCTTTTTTTAAGGTGTTAGGATACCTAAAGTGATCCAATTTAATGTCCGAAAATGCAAACTAACCTATTACCTAAAAAAAAAGAAAATGCAAACTAACCAAAACCAAGTCGTTTTGGTTAATAATTTGGGGAAAAAAAAAAGAAAAAAAAAAAAAATTCAGGATTTCAAAATTCCCTCCCCCCGGCTGCCTATACAAGCATATGGTAGCAGATATAGAAAGAGAGAGGAGAAGAAGAGAGAGACGAGACGCTGCCTCCTGACGCTCTCCGCCGCCGCCATCCTGCCGCCGGCAGACTCCCTCGCAGCTGCTATATACGCAGCGGATATAGAAAACAGAGTGAGAGAGAGAGAAGAAGAAGAGAGAGAGGAGACTCTGCCTCCCGACGCCCCTCCACCGCAGCCGTCCTGCCGCCGCCGACGCCCTGCTGCAGCTGATTCAAGAAAAATACAGGTGTTTAGTCCTCCAAAATTTCTCCAATATTTGGGTTTTGATTTGAAAAATTCGGATTTTTTTTTGAATGTTAATGATAATACAAGTTTGTTGGTTGTTGAATGTGTTGATTGGGAGATTGTTACATGATTTTTTTGAAATCTATTTTTAGGATTTTGATTTTTTTTAGTTTTTGAACCTTAGCTTAGCTTATATACACAGTTATCAGTCAATTGCGTATATACACAGATATACACAGTTATATATAGCTTAATATATCAGTCAATTCAAATTGTTTTCGAACCTTAGCTTAGCTTAACTGTGTATATTTTGGGAGATTGTTTTCTATTTTGTCAATTTGTAAATTGCATATAACTGTTATATTATTTTGGTCTTGCAATATAATTGTGTATGAACTGAAAAAATTACTGTAAGGAGTGTAACCTTCACACAGTTTTAAAGATTGAAAACAAATTCAAAAAACAAATTTCAAAGAGCAAGACATGTTACTGACATAACACCTGAAAATAAGAACAGAAAAAAAATCTCTTATAATGTTTTTTAAGTGATTAAATTTGTTCACACACTCAAAACATGTTACTCTCCTTCTTATTGACGGTTACTCCACTTGGTAACTCAAGTGGAGTTGTGAAAGAGAAACATAATTAAATAAATGGTCTTCACTCTAGTTAGTTTCCTAAATCAAACAAAAAATAAGATAATCAGAATTAAAAGAAAGACCAATTATTTAACTATGTTCCTTTTGTACAGCTCTAGTTAAGTTACAAGTCATCAAAATACCTGGAGTAATCTATGAAAATGTAATGAAAATCCAATTATAACCAATGTTTCTGAAATTTTGCTGATTTGTTTGTTGAAATATTGCTAAAATGTTGTAAGCTAAAATGAGTCAACTCTTGTAGTGTTTTTATTTAGTATGTATTACTTTGCAAACATAATTTGCTGTTTTTATGCTAATGTTGACCACCTATTTATTTTTTAAGTGACTTGGCACATTGAAATGGAACCTAACAATGTTGAGAATGATGGGGGTGATTGTGATTGAAAGCCTAGAGTTCGCATGGCATTTGATACAGAACAAGAAGCATATAATTTCTACAATGCTTATGGAGGAAGGCTGGGCTTTAGTATTTGAAGGGGTTATGTAAACAAGAGCAAGGACAGGCAAATCACTTCAAGGCAATTTGTTTGTAATAAAGAGGGGTTCCGGGTTGTCGACAAGCGAGATCCGTTAACAAAAAATCCTAGGCAAGAAGTGAGGACTGGTTGTCAAGCCCGACTTATCATTAAGTGGGACAGTAATATTGAGAAATTTTTTGTTGGTGATTTTGTTGAACAACATAGCCATATCTTTGTACCAACAGAATGTACGCATATGTTACCATCTCAAAGGAAGATATCTGCTTTACAAGCAATCGGAATAGATTTAGTCGAAAAATCTGGAATTCGTCTTAATGCTGCATTTGAGCTCATGGGTAATGAAGTTGGTGGAAGGGAGTCGCTTGGGTTCACAAAATTGGACCAAAAAAAATATTTGAGAATGAAGCGGCAAAAGAGTTTAGAATATGGGGAGGCAGGTAGTATTTTGCAATGTTTTCATGATAAAACATTGGAGAATCCATCTTTTTTTTACTCGGTCCAATTAGATAACGAAGAGCAGATTACAAACATATTTTGGGCCGATGCTCAGATGATCTTGGGTTATGGGCAATTTGGTGATGTTGTAACTTTCGACACTACTTACAAGTTAAATAGTGCACATAGACCATTTGCGTCTTTCGTTGGATTTAATCATCATAGGGAAACTGTTATATTTGGCGCAGCTTTGATGTATGATGAGATTGCCAATTCTTTTATATGACTTTTTAGAAGATTCTTGGAGGCAATGTCAAGTAAGGCTCCGAAAGCAATTTTTACGGATCAAGATGCTGCAATGGCTAAGGCCATACTTGTTGTCATGTCTAACACAAACCACTGCCTTCGCACTTGGCATTTGATGCAAAATGCATTAAGGCATGCAAATTCTACCTTCAAGGATAAGGGGATGAAGAGTCTTTTATCCAAATTTATGTACGACATTGAGGATGAGGAAGAGTTTACGTTAAAATGGGAGGAAATGCTTGACAAGTATGAACTGCGAGATAATCATTGGTTGAAGTTAACATTTGGGATCAAGGAAAAATGGGGTTGGCCATATGTTAGAAATGCATGGGGTGCGGGCATGAGTAGCACCCAACTTAGTGAATCCTTTAATGTTTTCTTGAAGGATTTCATATAGTCTGATCATAACTTAATGCAATTTTTCATGCATTTTGATCGAGTTCTTTGTGAGAAGAGGTACAAAGAGTTACAAGCCGAATATGCTCTATGTCAAAAGTTGCCAAGGGTGAATATTAAAGTGAAGATGATGGAGCAAGCTGCAGATGTTTACATAAATAAAATTTATGAAGAATTTCAAGATGAGTATGTCAAGTCCCTTGAAGTAAACATTAAAGAAACTGAACATGATGGGGAGAGTACCGTTTATACGGTTCTTGATAGTGATGGTGTAAAGGTGAGGAAGGTGAGAGTGGAGTGTGATGGTTCATTCACTTGCAATTGTGGGAAGTTTGAAATGAAGGGCATTTTGTGTAGTCATTGTTTGAAGATCCTTAGAGACACCCTCAAGTTCAAAGAGATTCCTTCACAATATATTCTCAAAAGATGAACTAAAAAAGCAAGAGCTGAAAATGTGAAAGATAGGTGTGGGCATGAGAAGAAAGAGAAGAGAAGAGAAGAGATTAGTAATAGTAGAAAACTGGAAAAATGGGGCATTTTTGCGTCTCCACTTGGGCATCGGCAGCTTCTCTCAGACTCTTCTTCACTTCTTCTTCTTCTTCTTCCCACCACTTCAATCCTTCTCTTCTTCCCACCACTTCAAATCCTTCTCTCATTCTTCTTCTTCCCACCACTTCAGTCCTTCTCTTCTTCTTCCCACCACTTCAAATCCTTCTCTCACTCTCTCCCCTTCCACCCCCTTCCTTCTAGGTGGAGGTTGTACTACTCTTTCTATCTCTTCTCTTCTGTTTGGTTTCTCGGAAAATTAACAGAAACCAAAAAATATCTTCTTGATTCCTATTTGGTTTTTGCAGGAACTTGAGAAAACTTGCTTGTAATCAAAAGAATGGTCGAAATTCTTCAGTGAAGGCCATCTACTCCAGTGAGTTTTGGGAGCCTGAGAGGCCTGACAATTCACGACTTTGACCTTTCTTTTTTATTTTATCTATTCTTTCTTTCTTTCATGCAGTTTGAATAGCTTTGAATTTGGTTTTTGTTTAGGGATGATTTGCAGATCCCTTCTTCGCCATACTTCCCAGCCTATGACTATGCCTATGCGCAAGGACAAGGACAAGGACTGCCCCCAATGATGCAAGAGAGTTTTCAGAGTGTTATCAGTCAGCTTTTTCAGCATGCAAGGGAAGGGACTATTTTTTTGGTTTTCTGTTCAACTCTGTTGTTGGTTTGTTTGTTTTCTCTTCTAGTATTTAACACTGCCTTGCCTTGGTGTTTTAATTGGACTCCCAAGAGGATAATACGTTGCGGTGCAGCTGTTGATGATGGACTCCCAAGAGGATAGTACGTTGCGGTGCAGCTGTTGATGATATGGCAAACATTATAGTTGCTCAGCTTCTCTATCTTGACGCCTTCGATCCCAACAAGTTCTCTTCTAATGATAGTAGCCATTGGAACTATTATAACTTATTATGCAATGCAAATATATTTTCAAATTCTTTGTCATTCAGATTACTTGCTTTGTCTATAAGCAGGAAGGAATCCAGCCCATTTTTTGTTTGTAAACAAAATATACACATTATTTTAATTGCACTAGTACTACTCCTGCATAGCTTAAGTAAGAAGAAGAAGAAGAAGAAGAAGAAGAAGATATGAGTCTGGGCAGTGTCTCATGGCTTGACAAGTTGCATTGCCAAAATGTTCAAAATTGGGACTATCTAATAATTATTGTATCACTTAAAGTTGCAAGCAACCAGGTCAGAGGAATTTAATTTAATTTTGATTTGAATATGTCTTATCAAACTCGGTTTGCAAATCAAGATGGATAATCTCTATGGCCTCATCTGGAGATCTTAGGGTAGTTTAATTACATCGTATTATGAGTTAATATCAGTTCTTAATCTTTTTAGTGGTATCATTAGAGAAAGGGAAGCCGTCTAATGGATGATTGTGAACTATTTAATCCTTGTCATTTCATCAAATGCTTTTGACAATTTTACAATGATCAACTTTGGTGGTGGCTCAGTGTCCCATGTTTTGGAAAAAATTGTACCTTCTAATGTTTTTTTTAGGATAAGTACCTTCAAATGTTTTTAAAGCATAACAGAGCTAGATAACTTCCATGGGATTTCCTGCATAATATTCTCATGTTTCTCAATTTTAATTTAACGAACTTTCTCTCTTTCTCCCTCTCCCTCTCTGTCAACACACACTTTCACTCACACACAACTACGTAATTATGGTATGAATTTTAACATCTATGTACATTGTGGAAGGATATACTCATTACGATACCATGATTGTTTGAACAGGATATTGTCATGTATGTGAACTCTCCAGGAGGATCAGTTACCGCTGGTAATGTCTTCCTTCTTTTTTTTTTTTTTTTAATATTAATTTGTCCTCATGTTGATTCTTAATTCTGTAGTGGACTGTCTATATATTTTCTTGATTTGATTATTTTTGATCTCCCTGTAGGCCTGGCCATATTTGACACGATGAGGCATATACGACCTGATGTTTCCACTGTATGTGTTGGACTGGCTGCTAGGTAATTTGTTGATGGTGGTTTTCTGATTTCCTCTGCCTTTTATGCCTTTATTTTTAAATGAAACAGTGATTTTTTCACTCCTCTCTCTCTCTCTCGTTCCCTCCCATTGATGATTATAAATTTATTTTATTTACTTCGTTTAAAATATGTATAATCTTTCTTTTGTATCAAATAAATCTGAAATCTAAAATAATTAAGTAGAGTAAATACTAATATATTGAAACTATTTCACTGAAGAGCATAGGAAGTTCTTGGAAACTATTTCCAAAGTTGGGAAACATTCTTAAAAACATTTCTAGAAAGAGTAACCTATGGATGTTTCGTAAACTATGATTTAAAGTCATCCAATCATAAAGAGCACGTCGTCCAATGATGCTCCACCAAAAACTTCTCTAGATCTCCCTCCCCTACTCTCTTCAATCGATTGAACATTGTACATTGAACATTGAACTGCCCACAGAACTCTGGGTTTTGAAGGATAAGGCCCATTGAACTGTCCACAGAACTCTCCTCTCCACCTATGTACCTAATCCACCTTAATATTGCAACCAATCTTCTAGTGTCACCATTTTACAACGCTCAGTATTATTATATCTATGTCTAGCATGTTGAATCAAAGGAATTTGGTGAGTGAACGCCAAAAGGAGGGAGTTGTGAGAGAAAGAGGTGGCTGGAGGGGTTTGAATCTATTCACAGAGAGAGAGAGAGATTGGGATGAGAGGACGGTGGTGGAAATGAAGTTGATGGAGGGAAGGAGGCAGGAGGGAAGGAGGGAGGTGTTGATGACTAGGGAAGAGCGAATGGGGAGTTGGCGGCGTTCAGTGGTGAGGTCAGTGGCGGTGATCCGTGCTGGGAGCTGAGTAGGGAAGAGAGAAAGGGGTGATTAGATGAGAGAGTCTATGTAGGTGGAAAAAAAAAAATTGGAGTCTACAGATTGGATGAGGTGTCAGTTTCTCGTTTGTTGTCTGTTAAATTGGTGTTTACGGATCTTCCATAAATAAGTTAATCTCATCTAGAAATGAGAGTTAAAAAAATGTAATCAACTAAATAACTCAAAATTTTGGAATTATACACGCTTTTAAGAATGCCCAAAGAGTGACGGTGTCGTACACGACACGCTTCCTCCACAGGAGTGTCTGTGCTTCTTAGCAAGTGACCATGGCTATATCTGTGCTTCTTAGCTGCTTCTACACTTCCAAAGTCTACTTGTTGAACCTTCTGCAGTTTTGCAGTGTGTTTGGCTGGCTATTTTTCTATATGTTATTGTTATTTCTAGTTTGTTCATGATGCATGATTGATGATATTCTTGGTAGAGTTTTCTTGACAGCATATATTTGCTGCTTGCATTAGTTGTAACAGAAAATATTCGTTTTTAGTGATGGATATTATTTTTCTTGTGGTGAACAGCATGGGGGCTTTCCTACTTAGCTCTGGCACTAAAGGTGAACCGAGACTTTCAATTTTGGTGATTGAAGATAAGATTTCATTTTAAGCTTTGTGCTTGCTGAATTTACCAAACATGTTTCTTCTGTCACTGAAGGGAAAAGATACAGCCTGCCAAACTCTAGGATAATGATCCATCAGCCTCTTGGTGGAGCTCAAGGTGGGCAAACTGATATAGATATCCAGGTACCTCTCATACTTATTTTCATTTTCTACCAGGCCTCATGTTATTGTTAGTTACACTTTGGCACTTCTGAATTAACCAAGCTGACACTAAATTGCCCATGTCTACTGTGAAATTAAAACTGCATTTTGGGAAACCTAAGCCAGCAGATTAGATAGAGACTTATTTTTATTGCAGTGTAGGACTTTCAAGATGTCTGTGTAATGGCATTATTTTAATGTTCTTACTATTGCTTTTAGTTTGCAATTCCATTTTTGCCCATGCTTATGTATTTATTTATTCTGCAACTTGCCCTTATGTTGTCAAATGTTGTGGGAAGCAGAATAGAAGTAGCACAATATTTATCTGTGGATGGATGTCTTATCCTTTCTGCCATATAGTGCCTTTGTTTCACTATAATAAGATTCTCATGTCTTTATTAGAAAAAGAAAAACCACCAGAAAGAAAGAAAGAAAGAATTTGTACTTCTTTAGAATCCCTTGAAGTGATTCCCTGAAGTTGGAACTATTGACAGAATTTTAATGGTTTCCTTCAATAAGGTTGATATTCTGTTATTGCTATATGTTGTTACCCTTACTATTCCATAAAAAGGCTTTATATTTAAGCCCTTACTTGGTCCTATGTAGGCATTTTCATGGTCTTACATTCATATTGATGAAAATAGAAGAAAGGGAAATATAAGATTAGGCAAAATACCAAAAATATCAAAAATCGAACAGATCAAATTATTATATTAAGGGAGAATTACAGCTCAACGGATTTTTGAAAAAATATTTATAAATATATGAAAAAGTTTAAAATTTTAATTATAAATATTTATAAGGTTTAGCATTGACGTGCAATTTTTTTTCCTTCCAATTTTATACTGAACTGCTAATTCCCCTTATATTAAGTACTACACTGTCATTCCACTCCTGGGATTAATTTTGTTATGTTATTTGTGGCCCTGATCAGTAGCAATTTTTCGTGTAGGCAAATGAAATGTTACATCACTAGGCAAACCTGAATGGGTATCTAGCCTACCATACTGGTCAAAGCCTTGAGAAGATCAACCAGGACACCGATCGTGATTTCTTCATGAATACTAAAGAAGCCGAAGAGTATGGGCTTATAGATGGTGTAATCATGAATCCTCTGAAAGCCTTCCAACCTCTAGCAGCCTAGTGCAGCAGATCAATAATCACAATTCTTGGTATGTGAACCTCTCATAGTTATTGCGGCCTTAAATGACATGCTGGCTTATATTGTAGATCATGATATTGTACTCAGTTTCTCTTGATTCTGAATGATCATGATATTGTACTCAGTTTCTCTTGATTCTGAATGATTTGATTTCTATGCACTTTGATCAGTGAATGAAAAGGAGTTTTTCTGTGTTCATCCAAATGGAGCTTGAGAAGTAATTTTACTTTATCTGGCTGAATTTCTTCAACCACCAGTGCCCTTGCTTTTGCTGCCACTGCTACTGCAGATACACATACTAAAGACGATATTTATTACCGTATTGTCATAGTCTTAGTTTTCCTCCAACAATACTTCTGATATCATTAAAAGATTCACCATATCCAGAAAAATAAATAAAATCCACATTTGCTTATTCTTTAAAATTGTTTCCGTCAGATCCTGTGTTTCAAAATGACTGGTACTCTGTTTCTCTCTCTAAGTTAATTACAGCCACAGAAACCCCAGATTGAGAGGGTCCAGAGAAGTGTGAAAAGATCAGATAAACTGAAGTGTACTGATTCTTGTCATATTTAGGTAGAAGTTGACATACGCAATAATATGTTCAATCCACAGGTATTGTAAAAAATAATTGAAACACTTGTATAATAACATTATATGACTCGCAATTTTATTTTTATTTTTATTTTTTTAAAATGTTGTATTATAATTATGGAACCTTCACTCAAGACTTCTGTAACACTGTCACTCTCCCCCATGGCCTTTGCTTAGCAAAGATATTTGAGCATTGGCATGCAAAGTAGAAATGGCCTTCAAATCCTGTACAAGACAAGTACACAGCTTTTCCCTACCCTACCCTACTCTCTCTGTCTGTGTGTTTCTCTCTCTCTCTCTCTCTCTCTCTCTCTCTCCAAACACTGTCCCACTGTGGTAGATAAATTCTGAAGAGAGCTAAAACAACATTGTCCCACTTGTGTTAGATAAATCCGAATTCCAAAGAGAGCTAAAACAACTTTAAAATGATGATTGATAAGTAAAGTACGAAGATGATGTGTGGAAGCCAAGTGTGTAACAGACTAGACAGTATACACAGATTGCCAAAATGTGTAGGTGTTTTTTGGCAATGGCATCTTCTTAGCTTGGAGTGACTGACATGCGTTGCCACGTATAAAGTGGGTAGGAAGTGTTTGGAATGTTTTGTTTGTAAATTGTGATCATACTTTCATTCCCTCCCTCCTCAAACGAGATATATACTTTTCCAGATTTTGACATTTTGTGGAGGAGTTTGGGGGGAATCTGTAACTGTTTAAAAGAAAACAAAATGATTCTCGGGCATTTGTTTAATAGTCAGATTCCAGTACCAAAACCGAATCCCAACTCATAGCTAAAAGAAAAACTGTCCCAAATAATATTAAGAAATAAAAAATAAAAAATGCTATACTTCAACTGTTTACTTGTATTTTATAATAATAATAAAAAATAGTATCATTGCAATGGTGCCTGACAATATAGAAAGTTACAAAAAGAAAAGAAAAGAAAAGAGGATAATGTATAGCAATTGTTGAGGGGAAAAAAATTGACACATATGTATATATTCACCCACACCAAATCAACCACTCAAAAAAGAAAGTTCATGTCACGAGTCACAAACATCTGTTTTTTTGGCACTAACGTTCTCGTGACTCTCGTGTCTCTTTTTTAATTGAATTCTTCTACATGATTTGACAAACAAAACAGTCCCACTGTTTGTGGGTTTGATGGTGGTGGTGGTCTCATCTGTCCCAAGAGCATTTATATCCATGTTCACAGTAATCCCACTATACTTTTGGACATATCTAAGCATTGCCAGACCAAAGCAAAAGAAAAAGAAAATTAAGGAATACTGATGGTGATTTGGAGAAATTGTTACTGCTCTCGAGAGCGTTTAGAAAGCGGCAAAATAAGCTGTAATAAACAACCAACCAACCAACCAACCAACCACACACCAAAAGCAAAACCATAAAAGATGCCAAGTGAAGAAGGAAAGGACTACCAGTAGTGGGTATATCTATCATATTATATATGCACATATATAAGTACAATATTTCTCTAAAAGACAGAAAAAGCATTTAAAAAAGAAAAAAAGAAAAAAAAAGGGAAGAAGATGGTGATTTGGATCAGGAAGGATGAACAAGAATCTTTGGATCAGGAAGGGTGAACAAGAATCCTTTCATCAAAGAAATTGTTCCTTAAGAAGCTTGTGAAGAAGGATGAAGATGATGATGATGAGGAGGAGGAGGGTAGTTCTTCAAGCTCATCATAGAAGTCATATTCTTCTTCTGATTTGTCGATTGCTGAGAAGGCCATGAGAGGAGGAGGGAGAGGAGGATTATAACAAGAGAGTGGCTCTTCCTCAAATAGAACAACACTTGGTGCTTCATAAGTAGTGGTGTTCTCTAGGTTTTCCGCGAAAGGGTTTTCTTGGGAGTTGTTGAATGGAGATTGGGAGTAGTGGAAATGATCTTCATTTGCATCTTCTTCACTGTTGATGAGGGGTTGTTGATCTTGGTCTTGGGCTTCTTGTTCTAGATCTTCTTTTTGGGGGGTGGTTGTGGTGGGTTGGTCTTCAGTAGGTGGTTCTAATTTAGAGTGTTCAGTAGTAGTGACAGTGAGGTTGTTGGTGGTGGGAAGAACAGGACCTGGATGATTATGGCTGGAGGTGTAAGTGATGATGAGCATGGAAGCATCTGTTCTGCTTCTTTCTACTTGTTTTTTTGCTGAACATCCCTTTGATGTGCTGCATCTGTAGTAACCCCTGCACCAAGTCCCCAAAATAAACCAGAGAGAGAGAGAGAGAGAGAGAGATTTTCTATTTATTCTAGCATTCCACTAGCGGATACATGAACCAAGATGAAAAAATTAAGGATTTTCTTTTGTTGTGTTTTCATTTTCTGTTTTCAATTTTTATTTTCTGAAAACACATTTGGTGAATTGTTTTAGAGAACAATCACTTTTTAGAAAACTTTTTTTTTTCTTCTCAAAAACAGTTTATGATATGAAAACGCTGGGTGTTTTTGTTTCTGAAAGCATGAGAAGAAAAAAAAAGAAAAAGAAAAAAAAACGCTGTACTTAATTTCCTTGAGAAACAAGATATGGAAAGCTTGTAGAATTAGAAGGAAAAGGGATCCAAAAATAATAACTCATAAAGTAGGATTTTTTTGAGGGGGGAATATGTGAAGGAAAATTGTACTTATAGCGACCAGACTTGAATTTAGGCATCACGCTTGGTTAAGGAACACCTCATCTATTAGGCCAACCCCTTCTTCTTCAACAAGAAACAAGTTTAAAGGACTATATGTTTGTTGTTAAAATTTAACTAGAGAGAGAGAGAGAGAGATGAACCTTGGATAAGGAGACCCTTTGATGGGTTTTTGCCCATATTTCCTCCAAGACCAACAATCAGAAGGTGGTCCTTCACTCCTCTGTTTCCCCTCATTTGCTTCAATCTTCACTGTGACCACAGTCTTTTGAACCACTTTCCTATTACAATTCATGGAAAGAAAATAACTTTCACGTATATATATTTCCATCTATAGCGCACGCACCCCAAAGGGCTTAGTCCAAAAGTGAAACAAAAATAAAAAAAAATTAAGTCTGAAAAACAACTCCCACAAAATTACCTTCTTTTGGATGCCTGAGTTTCTGGTTTAAGTTCTTCTGTAATCTTTGAGTCCAATCCTTCAGAGTGAGAGCCATCCATGACAGTTGATCTTGCCTCTGTGATCTTCTTCTTCTTCTTCTTCAGTTCTATCTATCTATATAAGCTAAAAGCCTACAGTAGTTGAAGTTGCAGAAGCCAGCAATAATAATAAAGAAAGAAATGGACAAAATCAGAGCTCCTAATTGATTAAGAGAGAGAAAGAGAAAGAGAAAGAGAAAGAAAGGAGAGAGAGGATAACAATGAGATGACAAACACCCACAAGTTGCTCTCTCTCTCTCTCTCTCTCTTCATTCATTAAATATAAAAGCTATACTCAACTATATGCATTTCACCAGCCCCAACTTTATAATTAATTATAAACCACCCCCCTTGCACATTTACATGTACACACACATACATACCCAGAGTGAGAGACATTGAAGCGTGCTAGGAATACATAATTATTACATATGTGAGATAAAAGGGTGGAATTTACATGTACTGCGGATATTACATAATTATGTTTGTGATTATTTTTGTGTTTTAATTATGTGTTACAGTTTTTTTTTTTTTTTTTTTTTTTTTTTTTTTTTTTTTTTTTTTTGGAGAGATACATCCTTGAAAAAATATGCTACCGCCCACCCACACGAGTAAATATTGAGGATTATTGTGAGACTTGTATGTATATCATTAATTAATGAGAAATTATACATTGTAATTGTAAGCATACATAATTGTAATTTTTTATTGATCGATGATATTATATAAAATTATGTTTACTATTACGCTCAATATTTTTTTTTTAAGAGATATCTTGGTTGGTTGGCCGGACTGTGGGCCGACTGTATGTCCAATAAGCAATTTCATAATTGCCACGTGGAGATTGCGATGCTTATTACAACTCTCTATGGACTAAATCCAATCTTTGAATCTAGACACATATGTAAAGTTATAAACTTCCAAATACAAATGATTTATAAAATATATATATGATAGAATTTTCATCCATATATAGCATTTTACAATTACTGGATTTGGTGGGGGATGGCAGGTGTGTGATGTGTGATGAGTGCATCTTAATGAACTTTTTCTTTTCTTTAACTTTAGATGTCCACATTGGATATAGTGCTTTGCTTTTTGAGGTGCAAAAAAGAACTTCCACCTGAAAAAAGCCTCACATGTTTTTGGGGTCTAGTTTCGAAATAAATATGAAGTTTATTGAAGATATTATAATAAAATATATTTTAAAATTAAAAATAAAATTTATTTTAATAATATAATAAATGTCGCATTAGTAATATATAAAAATTTTTTTATATGATTTGTATTATTTTATCATAATTTTAAATTTTTAATTAATTAATAATATCATCTCATGGTATTGCCATATACTCAATATTTACTTGTAGTAGACCAAATGTAATTTAATATTCAATATTTTGGAATTACAATACGAACATAATTATTATTCAGATTATACCATTAACATAATGCAACAATAATATTCTTGAAAAATAGAAACACGGGTTCATGAGGAAATTAACCCAACTTGGGGATTAAATTATTTGCCCGTGCTTTCCCGAGTAATATAACTATATTTACATAGTGCTCACATCAATCAAGACTGTGAAATTGATCATTAATTACTGGTGCACAGTTATTTATTTTTATTATTTATTTGATGGATTAGGACTTTGAAGTTAGAAGAGAGGTTTATTTATTCCAACCGAGGCTTGCCCGTGATATAAGCTCAGTGGCACCGCCTTGTGTTGTGTTACACGTTCATTATTATTATATGATACTTACCCTTAAAATAATGTGTTCATCGTAAGTTTTTAGCGGATCTCCCTATTACACGTTCATTATTATCACTTCTTAATTTTTTAATTTTTTTATCAAGTTGGTTTTCAATTTCATTCTTATATTGAAAGAAAATTTTTAAAATTTTATCGTTAGTTTGAATTAAATAAAAATAACTATATCTAGTATAGTTATCTATAAAAGTGAAAAAATAATTTTTCTCCCTTTTAGTTTGAATTGATTTAAAATCACAAATGTCACTATAAATTAATTCAAGTGGTTCTGTATTTCTTTCAATTGAGTGAAAAGAAGTTTTGGATAATTTTGCCTCAATGCAAATTTCACATTTATGGTTTGAATCAATGTCAAATTTAGATAAACATTCCATATTAATTAATTTACGTAAAGATCCATAATTAATATGTTCTCGTCTACCATGCTACAAAATTTGAAGACTCAACCAAGTAAGAAGAAGATGTATTTTTATTAATAACTACGGGTACAACGGTAATTACATTCATCTTGAAAAGGCCATCGGACATGCAACCTTTTCCTACATATATCCCATTCTTAGTAAGTACAAATTTATCACTTTCAAACACTAGCCTAAACTCATTCTTACTCAACAAAGATCCGAAAACAAGATTCTTCCGAATGTCCGGTACATATAGTATATTGTTGAGAGTGAGTTTCTTTCCAAATGTCATCTTCATAACAATCTTCCTTTGTCCGTCAACTTTGAAAGTTAAGGAGTTGTCTATAAAAAGTTATTCACCGTTGTCCACTGTAAAATAAGATATGGATATCTTTTTGTCAGCACAAATGTGGCGAGTAGTACCAGCGTCCACCCACCATTCTTTAGGATTTCCGACAAGATTTACCTCGGAAACAACTGCAGAAAGATTGATGTCATCTACACCATTGACAATATTGTCCACTTTGGTCATATGGGCTTGAGCAGGCTTCTTGTTTGTTCTTCTTTTGCTTTTGCCTTTGCTTCGGCAATCTTTGGCCTGATGTCCCTCTTTGTCATAAATATAAAACTTGCCATTAAACTTGTACTTTTTAATTTCCCCTCCTTTAGAGCCTTGTGATGAATTTTCTCCAGAAAACTTCAATTTCTTTGCTTTTGGAGCATGTTTCACCACATTTGCCTTAGACTCCATAGGATGCTTACCATCCCGTTTTTCAGAATTGTGGTTGTCCTCCTCAATCCTCAAACGCACAATTAATTCTTCTAAAGACATTTCTTTGAGCTTGTGTTTGAGGTAGTTCTTGAATTCCTTCCAGCCTTGTGGTAATTTCTCAATTAAGGCTGCAACATGGAAGGATTCACTGAGAGACATGCCTTCTGTGTGAATGTCATGCAGAATGAGTTGGACATCTTGAACTTAGTTGATCACAGCTTTAGAATCAACCATCACAAAGTTTAGGAATTTGCCAACCACAAATTTCTTTGAGCCGGCATCTTCCGCTTTGTATTTTTTCTCCAAAGACTCCCAAAGTTTCTTTGTTGTCTTGATAGGACTGTAGACGTTGTATAATATGTTATCAAGTCCGTTCAAGATGTAGTTCCGGCAAAGGAAATCAGCATATTTTCAGGCATCGACTGTAGCAACCACTTGCCGGTCAGTTTCATCCTTATTCAGAGTAGGAGCATTTTCACGGAGAAAACGAGCCAGGTTTAGAGTTGTAAGATAGGGCAACATTTTCTGTTGCCATCTTTTAAAATCAGTTCCTGAGAACTTGTCCGGCTTCTCACTGTGATTTACCAATACTGTTACAACAGGAGAGGGGGTTGTCGCAATTGCAGCCACCATTCCAATACTCGTTTGAGCATTTGTTTCAGTAGCCATGAATTCTAAATTATAATTAGAATTTATACTATACAGAAAATTAATCCAAATTCACAGAATTAAATTCTGTAAAAATAAAAGAAATAAGAATGTAACTTTTATTTTCAATTAATTTGAAAATAAAATAAAATTTATTTAAACAAATTAATTCCACACAGAAAATTAAATTTATGTAATACTTCAAGAATTAAAATACTAAAACAGAATTTTAATTAATGAACACTCAGAAATAATTTCTGAAAACCAAAATTAATTTCTAAAAAAATTCCATGAATAAATATTTTAAATTGTTAATGACATCCGTATATTATTACTAGTTGTCAAAGAAAATAGACAGTATATTACTACTATCTATCAAATAGTATATAACCACTATTTATTTTTCCAACCACAATATTATTTTGTAAAACAACAGAAAATAATTTCTGTAAGAAGAAGAAAGAGAAAGGGAAACAAACGAAAAATTCTATAAGTAGAATAATTCGAATTTGTCTTAAAATTGTTGGAACAATCTTCTGTGTACAATAAATAAATTGAAACAAAATCAAATAAAATAAAGAACTTACAGAATTTATTTTATCGAACTGAATGAAAAATAAAAAGATCAAGTCGAGTGTGTGACATTCTGTCCTTAAGACAGATTCGCCCTGTTACGGTGCTTACGGACTAATGGCGTCTATCTTCCAAGATATAATGATCTTCACAAATTTATAGTAGCACTCCAAACAAATTTGTCCGGCGAACTAGAACCTGTATTCTATAACTCTCTGAATTTTTCCTAAAATAATATGAAGAACAATGGATGCTAGAGAGTAAAATGAAGGCAAGGAAAATGAATTTTCAGAATGAGTGACTGCTGGAAAATGGCCTGCTATTTATAGACCTGAACAGGTTCAATTATTCAAACTGAACAGATGGAATTTGAATCCAACAGGTACATAACAATTTAAACAAATATAGCACTGTTTCAACAGATAACTACTTGGCAGTTTAAATCTGTTGAAATTGCAACAGTTTAAAAAACCTATTTGGCAGATTTGAATTTGTCCAGGTTCAAACAGATTTGAAACCTTTATGGACAGTTTAATCTGTTAGGAATAAATGGATTGGAGGAGGTAAAAATGGACAGAAAATTTAAATTTAAATTTTGAATTAATTTCCAACAATAATCTTTGGAAAAAGTCCAAAAAATTAATATCTGAGCTGACCTGATCCATAACCCTCACCCCTGTGCCCGGCACGGCTCGGTCGAACGGCGGCGGCGCGTATGGTGGTTTGGGCTAAGGTTCTATTTGTCCATAACTTCTCTCTTCTACAAACTTAGGGTGCCCCTTGGGGCCCAACCCAAGTTAGTACACCAAGAGCTTATATACCCACAAAAGCTCTCTTAAAGTTTCAATATAGGACAACCCATTTAAAGAAAACCTACATTTACTTCTTTAATTGTTTATTCTACGAATCCGAAAATGACGTCAACTTTTCATTCACTCATAAATAGTTTTGACGAACCGTTTTCACCGTGTGACTTGCCATGCGACAAGAAACATGTTTCTTCTTCGGACCCACCCCAAAAGATGTTTGGGGCCCACTCAATTTTGGGCTCAAAAATTGACCCAAAATAAACCTTATAAAACCAATTTTTCTAACAAAGACTTCCAACCCCCCTTCCCCCAAGGGATATTCTCACACACACACACACACACGCAAACAAACAATATATATATATATAGATATAGCCGGCTTGAAAATTTCAGCTTGTCTTAAGATCATTGTTGAATTATGAACATGTTTAATGCAGTTTATTATAAGTTGATAATCGATAAAGATAATTTAAAAGCATCTCTCTTCTAATTTTTAAATAATCGACTTATTTAAATTATTTTTATCTAATAAACTGTAAGTAAAAGATATACCAAATAGTTTGACATAGATTTTTAAATTAAAATAAATTATAATAAGTTCATTTAAGTTACAACAAACAGAGCCTATCTAAGGGATGGTTGTGGTTGCGGTATAGTTAATTTGAAAAACACTCTTCACCTTTTAAAGAGAAAAAATATTTTCCGTCAATTTTAATATTTTAATTTTTAAAAAAATAAAAATTATTTTGTCAAAATAAACGGAATGTTAATTATTGTGTTTAAATTATGAATTTTTGTAGACATTTATAAAAGTAAAGAAATGACAAAGGAAAAGTGGAAAGAAAAAAAAATAAAATAAAAAAATAGCATCTACATTGTATATTTGTTTCTTTATATATTGAAAATCCGACGGGAGGCGTAGAAAACAATGGAGGAGGTCCATTGTCATGTAATAATGAAGAGCAGCCACGTGCTTGACGAACCAAAATTTGAGTGGTTTGCGCATGCATTCCCATTCATTCAATTGAATGCGATTGCTTTGTTCTTTTTCTTACTCTATAATGGTCCTTCATTTCATTTAACCATGTTTATTATTATTATTTTGTTTTATCTACTATGAAAACTTTTTATCTTCATCAATCTCTCTCTCTCTCTCTCTCTCTCTTGGGTCCAACATTCGAATTATTGAGACTGAAGTTTCTCCCTATTTAGGGGTGAGTATGCACATACTCAAATCACATTATTACATTAATTAATATATATATTAGTATATTAATTAATATTATATTATTATTATTGACTCAACCTTCTATATAAATTATAAATATTTAAAATTTTTAAAATTATATCACATCATCTGTTAATATATTAATACATTAATTAATACATATAACATTATTATTATTATTATTATTTTTGAGTCAATCGATAAAAAATAAATGATAAATCTAATATAAACTACATCAAATTGAACCAACTAAACTAATTGATAAGGTAGGCAGGAACCGCGTATGTATTGCCGGAGCTACCGAATGTGAAAAATGAAGTAGTGAGAGAGACAACTTAGAAAGAGTGGCAAGCTGGATTATTTTTTGTGATTCTCTTTTCTTACATGTTTGCACAAACAACTGTTATAGAAAATAGTAGAAACAATTATAAAAAATATGTTTATTGGGAAAATTTAGTACAAAAAATAGCATTACAGAACTTTATTTTTTGTGTCGACAATATGTTCACTTATAATATAAAATATAGGATAAATTGCAAATATATTCTTTAAAGTTTTTTTAAAATACAGATTGTCGCTTATAATTTAAAAAATTACAAATATTCTTTTGTCAGAATTTTTTATTTAATAAAGTTAACTAAAAAACATAGAATTCATAATTACTCTTCTGTACAATAATAAAATTTCTTAAATTATTAATTGAAATATATTTATAATATTATTAATAACTGTTAATTGACTTGATGATTTATTAATAAAATGAGTGATTTATTATTAAATTAGAAATCTTAAGGGTAGAATGTAATTTGCATAATCACAGGAGATAATTCGTAATTTAATCAAATTTTAGAGGTGCATTTACCGTAAAATATAATATGAAAAATGCTAATTAATAACAACTCTTAAAGTTGTTATTAATGTTCAAAATTGTGTACAAAGTATATAAAAAAATGTAAAAATATTTTGAAATATATGACAAATATATTAAGATTATAAATATTTTATCATTTTGTAATTTTTAAAAACAACCCTTAAGAATGTGATTAACAAGACCCATGTACCATAACTGGAGTATGCAACCCCAATTGTTCAACTTTTATCTTGGTAGATCAAACTAATGACCCAGTTCCTAGCAATTACATTCCATTACAAAAACAAAATAATGATTGTGATGTTATGATAATGACTATAAATAATAAAAAAAATTTACCCTTAATTTCCAAAACTTGACATGAAGACTATTTACTAGTCATGCTAACTGGGTCAACAAAAAAAATAAAAATGACAGTTATTTTGTTGTCACATCGGACTCTCCATTAGAGTATGGACAGGCAGAGTATTAAATTGGAAGATGTACAATCAACTTTTTATTACTTGTTGGATTGTCAATGCATGCATGTCTAGAGAGAGAGAGAGAGAGGGGGGGAGAGAGAGTCTCTACAACTTACAATAATTTGATTTTTTTTTTTTTATTATTCAAAGGATAAATAATTGATGGATGACTCATGAGGGTGTGAGGGTGACCAGGACATCGTTTATTGGCAGAGCGGTTGGTTCATTTCACTTACATGCGGCGGTGCCATTTAATGATGCCTACTTGCCCTGGACTCTATAGTAAATTGTTTTAATTTGATTTAAATTTTTGATAATTTTTAAAATATATTTAAATCTGAATTTAAATCCAACTCAGTTAAAACGGATTAATTTGGTGTTTTTTATTTTATTTTTTGTAATAAATATAATCGAGTCCAATTGAATAAAAGATAGTTCAAACTTAATTTAAAAATTTAATAAAATTTAAAATATATTTTAATTTTTTTACGAAACAAATCGATCTCAAATAAATTTTTAATAAATCAAACATGGGTTGGACTTGAATAATTTAAACCTTACCGAGACCAACCTCAGGCCCCAAATAAATATGGTTTTTAGTCTGCCTCTGATACGATGAAAGATTTGAGAAGCCCAATTAGCCCACTGAATTACCCACCAACAGCAACCCTACCCATATAAAATTAGTTTCCTATGATAAGAAGCAAAATTCAAACCTTCATTTATTTTTCAATTCAATTTTTTATGTCTTACATTCCATTTTTTGAAATACGAATTTTTTATTTTATTTTTTATTTTACTCACAAGGGTATCTAGGGCTTTTTCCTAACTAATCTTTCAAATAAAATCCTCTATTAATCTCAAGGAAAAGTGAAGAATGAAATATTTAACCATTGATTCACCTCTTGAGATTTGAACTCATGAAACTCTGCTGACTGAGACAATTCAATTGGTTGAAAAGTTAAAATAAAAAAAAAATGAAAATTTTATAAAATATGCCTATTAAACCAATGCATTTATGACTATGGGTTCGTTTGAGAAGTAGATTGATTTTTTGGCTATTTTAGTCTGGAGCTAAAAAATCTCGTTTGAGAATGACTTTTTGACTTTTTTGATTTTTTGTGAGAGAAAGAATGTAATGATTATATGTTGAATGTGATGTTTTATCTTATTGGATTAAAAAACCTATTTTATCTTTTTGTGACTAACTCTAAACCCAACCCATCTTCTCAAACAGAGGCTCTATTGTATCATCACTAGGAATGCTTGAATGATCGGTTAAGATTGTTAATAAGAAAAAAGTAATGTTATGATGTTGATATATTTTTTTTTATCACATTATTATTTTTTTATTTGACATATATATTAATTGAATATCAATGACAACAATTCCCATGAATCTCATTAAAATTCAACTAAGTATGATCATTCTAATATTATAGGGAAAAAAAAAAAGAAGATATGTAACTATCAAATAACCAAGCACCTTGTATTGTATTGTATTGTGATTGTAGATATAATATCGGATCGAAAGGGCACGTCGGATGAGACCATTTCAACTATCAATCGATCATCATCTACCTAAGAAAGATACCATGCGTGTTTATGATAACCATGACTACACAGCCCTAACTAATCATATTTATTTAAATACTCAAAAATAAATAAAAAATAATAAGAAGAATTAGCCAATCATCGTGTGTTCTTGGCTGCATGGTAAGCTTGAGCTCACCTAACAGGCTTAGGCTTACCCCAATTATTTACTTATTTATTTAATTTCTGGAAATAAAAAATTATAGAACAAAGTCTCAAGGATCTTTTGTAGATAACACGGAATGTATGTGTACAACATAATTTATTCAAAAAATGGCTGTGCCATAGTTTTATCGAAAAAATCTCAAGTCGGTTGCGAGAAAAGGATGGATGAACAATCAACCATATAAAAAAAAATAAAATCTGTAGCACATTACTACAAAGATTCAATAAATTCAACAATCACACAAACAATCCCCAAATAAATACAAAAGGACTAGAAAGGCTAAGTGAAGAAAATCGAACCTCAATTCTCGTGAGATGAATGAGCTATTGGCGAATGGGCTCGGCTCGGTTCACAGAATGTCATCTAAGAGGAGTAAAAATTTGATGTTATCACTTTGGAGTGGGAGGAAAAAACAGAAATGATATGTATCCAAAAATATAATCTAGAAAAGTGCACAAAATTTGAATTTATGGCGTAGATTTAAACTGTATCATAAATTACAAATAAAATGAACCTGATTAATGCATTTTAAATTCAGAAATAATACGTATTTATTAAAAGTGTCTAGAATTTGAATGTATAATTTAGATTTAAATTTGTGGTGGCATGAGCCCTACCTAACATGAATCTAATCTATATATTTCAAATTCTTGATAATTTTCTAACTACATACCATGGTTGCTTCAAATTTTGAGTATTGTTGTTAGACAAATGAAACTTCAACTATTTTGTTTTGTTTAATCTAGAACGGAATGTACAATCCTCTTTTTGAGAAGAAAAAAAAAAAAAAACAAAATCAACCAGCTTGTTTGGTTTTAATTTTCAAAAAAATTTATTTTTTTATTTTTCTAATTTTAATATTTTCAATGAATTTTAAAAAAAATTTAAGTAATTTTTTTTTTGAATTTTTAGACATACTTAACATAAATACACTTAAAAAGGTATAATATTTGTGAATTTTTTTTAAAAAAAATACATTAAATACCAAAAAATACAAAAAAAAAAAAACGAAAATTCAATACATTTTTCGTATTTTTATATATTTATTAATTTTTTAAAATATTTTTTCATGGGGGCACTTTTTTATAAATCATTTTTCACCTACTTATATTCCGTTTAGTTCACATTATTTTTTTATATTCCAATAAGTCTTATGAGTGACATAATTACCAAAACTTGATTAATACTTTAATATGAAAAGCATTGATTAATTAATACTTCCAAAGTAAAAAATATGACAACATCTTACAGTAATAATTATATATATTGAGTAAATTATATTGAGTTTTGTGAGAATTTAAAAAGTAACAGTGTGTTTCGTAATTTTGATAATTACACTATTTTTGTTTGAGGTTTGAACTGAATAATATTTTCCTCTACCCTGTCAATTTAAAAATAAAAAATAGGTCAACAAATGAGACAATATTTGCTCTATTTGTTTCCAATTTCCAGAATTCACTTTTTTAAAAATTGTACTTTTTGTTTTTTGAATTTTTTTATTTTCACGGAATATTTTTAATATTTTAATTAATTTTTTAAAATTTTTAAACCTACCTAACATAAATACACTTAGAAAGTATAATATTTTTGAAAAAAAATCTTTAAAAAATTCACTGAAAAAAAAAAAGGCAAAAAAAAAAAAAACGAAAATTCAATACATTTTTCGTATTTTTATATATTTATTAATTTTTTAAAATATTTTTCATGGGGGCACTTTTTTATAAATCATTTTTCATCTACTTATATTCCGTTTAGTTCACATTATTTTTTTATATTCCAATAAGTCTTATGAGTGACATAATTACCAAAATACCCCTAATAATATTCACAATTATAGTGTAAATGTTCACGCCATCAATATGAATGTTGACATCGTCAATCTCAATGTTAACATGTCAATTTGAATGTTCACACTGTCAATGTAAATATTCACAATGTAAAATATGAATGTTCACGTCATTAAATTGTTAACCGTTCAAAAAAATTTGTCAGGTAGAAATGTTTATAAAATATTTTAAATATGAGAATTAAGATTTGGTAGATCAAATGTTTAAATAATAAGACTTATTGTAATACAAGAATATCTTATGAACTAATTAGGATACAAACACTTGGAAATTAATTTTTTTAATAAATCTTCATTTTTCATAAATATTTTACTATACATCTAAGTAAGGTGCATATAAAAAAATAAAAAAATTACTTAAAATTTTAAAAATATTCACTAAAAACAAAAAAAATATGAAAAATAAAATATTCAATTTTTGAAAAACTGAATTAAAAAACTAAAATCAAACACACTGTATATTATCTTCCATGAATTATTTATAATCTTGCCTTACATAACACGGTTGTAGGTCCACTGACCACACCACTGCCACATTAATTAATAATAAGATGGTAGTTCTGAAAAATGCCAATGCCATTGTCCACTTGTTTATTTGGTGACGGGAAACACAGTTAATTTATATGGACTTGGCATCTCTTCCATGCCTGAAAATGGCTGTCCAACTGACCTTCATAAAAATGAATAACTGGACAGTTTTCTTGCATATAAAGTATAATAAAATTTGCCCTAACCATCCTAATCGTGGAATGAGAAACATTGTTGTATGTCAACTAAAAACTAGGTCGTGACAACCACTCTATATTCCTTTAATTCTATGTTAAGTTGTTATATGTTCCATTACATATATACACCTCAACATTGTTCCCTTGTTGCTAACCAAACATTTTTGTTTTTTGGGGGTAATTGCTTGTTGATTTGGGATTAAATGGGTTGTAAGATATGGCAACAACAACAGGGTGGTGGGAAGATCAAGATCCTCTTGAGTTCAGCCACCGTGAAAGAGCCGTTTCAAATCCTCATCACCAGCCTTCTCAGCCTCCTCCTCCCCCTTGCATTCCTCCTCCTCGCCAGGCTTTCAACTGCTCACTTTCTCTTCTCCACCGCCCCTAACTACCCTCAAACACAGATTTCCTCTCTCCTAATCTCTCTCTTCTTCAATACAAACCCAACTCTTCTCCACGCTCTCATTTCCTTTGTCAGTGTCGCTACCCTCATGCACAGCCTGTCTGGCCGTGCAACGCTCACAACCGACTCTCCTGGACCCGTTTCCCGGTTGTACACTGCATGGATTTTGCTATGCACGTTACAAGTTTGTGTAGGTTTGGGTATTGAAGGGAGCATAGCGGCTGGAATTGATGGTTCGGGTTTTGGTCACGAGCGAAGTTCTTTAAGCAAAGTCATCTTCTTTCTGGGCTTGCATGAGACGATGGTGTATTGGTCAAGGACGGTTGTGAAGCCTGTGGTTGATGATACGGTTTTTGGGTATGTGAAGGAGGAGAGGTGGGTTGAGAGGGTGGCCATGGCGGCTAGCCTTGGTACCCTGTGGTGGTGGAGGTTGAGAGGCGAGATTGAGTCTCTGGTGGTTATGGTTGAGGTCAAGAGAGAGCTGTTAATAGGTGTTGGGATTGCTGACTTTGTTGGTTGGTGGTTGTATTACTTAACTGTTACTATTGGAATGGTAAAAATTGTAAAGGGCATTATGTGGCTTGGAGTGATATTGCTTTGTAGGAGGGTAGAAGCAAACTCAAGTCCGGTTGATTCTACGGGGAATGAAGAGAAGGTCTAAACTCGAAATGAATATTGGGTATAACGGGTTTCATCTGCCCATCAAATGGGTGGGACCAACCAAGTGATCCTTAGTCGAACTCATTTAAAATTGTTCATTAGTACACATATGACCAATTGATGTGGTATCACGGTTATACTCAATATCTATTGTACATTTCGCTTGTCCAGTTCTAATTCATTTCATTCTTCCCTGGTCAGATTGATCCAATCCAATCAAATACTGTATCCATTTTCTCTTTCCTTGTAATTTGTAACCCACTGTTATACTATATTCGTCACAAATGCTTTGTTAATTTCTTCATCCTAATCCAAACTATCACACTAGAAGTTGTTTTGTAATATTTTAACTTGCATCAAGTCAAGCTGAGAATTATGAAAAAGACATGTTGGTTGATATATATATGTTATATAAAAGTCAACACTACATAAATAGATGTACTATATATTTTATAACCCAACAGTCAACAGCAACATATGTCTAAGGGAAAGTTGGGGTACAGTGGGCAGTACCTTCCTCAGCATACATTGGCGAATCTGTGTCAGTTGCAGGCTCCTCTTCCATTATTGAGAAAAGTAATTAATATCTACACTTTAAACAATCAATAAATTGTGAAAAATTTAACAATGCAAAATAGATAGAGATTTTAATCCATTCCAAACAGAAAATAGAAAATAATGTGATGTAACAATCAACATACAGAAGAAGGCAAAATCAGTTTTACCACTCCATGATGGTTGGTTGCCAATGTTCAAGATGATGATTTGATATGCTTCTGCAACTCTTGGTTTCTGTTTCAAGACGAAAATTTGGCTAAAACTGCAAAGATAACCTTAATAAACAACAGTAAAAAGCATGAAGAAACTCAGAATAAACAATTCACAAGGCTCCTGCTTCAGCTTATGGCAATATAAATGTAAAAAAAAACGAGGCGGAGCAACATACATTTGCTTAATATGATTAAAAGAAACCAACATTGCAGTTGCAGCAACCGTGGACTAAGCATACGCCACAGGTCAATGAGGGGATTATTTAAAAAAAAAAGGAAAACAATCTTGCTTCAAGAATATCCTAGAAATTGAGCAGAAGTAGCATTTTATAGCTTGAAAAAGGGCCAGGATGAAGATCATCACTGCATTTTGCAATGATGATCATTACAAATTGGCTTTTGCAACCATCATACATTGTGGCAAAACACATCAATGCAATGTAGATAGATGCTCACGACTTCCATTTGCAAATACAAAATCATCGTAACCCGTGTAAGTTAAGAGTTACTTAGTGGTTTAGACGTGTTGAGAAACTATGCAATTGTGGAGGCAAATATGCATGTGCTTAGAGGGCGATAGGCCAAATCATAAAATTAAAAACTTATCAAGTGGATTAATTAGAAAAAAGGAAAACTTCTTGCTTTTGTTTGACTAGAAAATGGAAAATAAAAAGGAAATGATTATGTACTTTTAAAAAATCAATTGCTTGGTTATCATTTTTTAAAAACACTTTTCAGAAAATTTTACTTTCTTATTTTTCGTATTTTTTTATTTTTACTGATTTTTTTAAATATTTTAAGTAATTTTTTTAATTTTTAGACATATTTAACATAAATATACCTAAAAAATAAAAAAAATTGAAAAAAACATTTTAAAAATTCACTAAATACCAAAAATATTAAAAAAAAAACGAAAATTCAGTACATTTTTTTATATTTTCATGTATTTATTAAATTTTAAAAATATTTTTTCACAATTTTTTTTACTTTTTAGATACATCTAAGTAAGGTGCATCTAAAACAGTAAAAAAAATATTTAAAATTTTAAAAATATTCACTAAAAACAAAAAAACACAAAAATAAAAAAATTCAATTTTTAAAAAATTTAATTCAAAAAACTCAAACAAAACACACTGATTCTTATTTTTTTTATGGGCATTGATTTAGACCCCCTTAAAACACCCACCACCACAACCCCCTCACACACATGATGGTTGGGGATTGGGTGAGAAGAAGAAAAAAAAAAAAAAAAAATTGACCAATCAAAACTAAAGGGGGTCAAGGGGGTGACCCCCAAAGGGAGTCTCAACCTTTATTCTTTTTTTATTTGGTTATATACATAGAAAAATGAAACGGTACAAGTAATTAATTTCATTACATTTTCCTTATTCCCTAAGGAAAATGCTAGAGGTCTCAAATTTTCTACCAAATAAATGACCAAATGTCTTACATGGGTGTGGGGCTCACAAAATTGCGGACCCCACACCTATGTGAGACATTTGATCATTTATTTAGTAGAAAATTTGGTATCCCTATCATTACTCATTCCCTAATGTAATGCACTATAAGGGAATCATTATGTTTTACTGTTTTCTAAGCATTAGGTGAAATTTTTTGGACAAATCCTTAATGGATGCTCTCTTCCTTTTTCTGATCAAATCTTAGACCCCAACATGACACGGCGCAAAGAACACACACAGGAGCATATTTGGGAGAAATCATTTTTTTAACGAATTTCAAAATGGAAATTCAATCAATCAAAATCCAATTCAGTTTTAAAATTCATTCTAGGCAAACAATACAAATTTCAAATTTTTAATAAAATCATATCCTTTCCAATTCCATCAAATCCTGCTATGCCAAAACGCAACTAACAATTACTATAGACCAATTAAACAGAAGCAAAAAACATGATTGAAACTCTAGAGAAAAAAAATTTAAAATCGTGACAAGAAAAAAGAAAAATTAGGGTTTTATTTGTTTTTGAAAAATTGCTTAAGAGAGGTTTGTACCTCTAGATGGAGGCTCACGAAAATCATCGGAAGTGTTGTCTTCCATCTCTTCCAACTCTTGTAGTATTTTCTGTTAGAAAAATAGTATCAAACTATAAGGAAAATATAATGTAAAATTATATAAATGCTTTTTTGGACAAAACCAAAAACTCAAATATATCAACATAATAACGTGATAAAACTTACCGTACGTAAATAGATAAAACCTGATCGAGTCGAGTGTGTGACACTCTCTCCTTAAGACAGATTCGTCCTTCCACCGGTGCTTAGGATTCAATGGACGTCTATCTCGCAGGATACAACGATCAATGTCTTGCACTAGCAGCACTACTATTGCAAGCCTAGCGAACTTTGCTATGCATGAACTCTCTTTATAGGAAAATTAGACTCAGGCAATATGAAGAATAAATACAAAGTGAAGAAGAATGGCAATTCCCCATTTAAAATGAAGTGAGGGGCATGGAATATAAAGACTTCTAAGTGACTCTTCAAAAAGGTTGTGATCCTTCAAAAGGACACACCCTTTCATTTCAAGAGACACAACCATTGAAGTAAATTAAATTCAAATTTTCCAACAATCCCCCACATGAATGAAATTTACGGAAAGGACATGCAACAACATGCAGACAAAGAGAGAGTTCATTATGGAAATATACTGCATCGGGATAGGTAGCTTTCGGCTTTGAACCTTCCCTAGTGAAAGCCTATCGGACTTACTAGCTAATCAGTGGACGTGATGCCTTGAACTGTTCAGCCGTTTGTGTAAGCCAAGACAATAGAATTCACACAGAATATCTTCAAACACAACTTAGTTCTCACGGTTGTGCCCGTTTTGGCCTTGGGCAAGTCCTGGTGTTTCTTGAGTGCTTTAGAGAATTTAGCCTTATGAATTCTCATAGAAGCGGCCCCTTCACACTCATATAGGTGATCCTTATTTCGAGTCTCTTAAATACTCCTCTTGAAAGATACCCCTCTAGGATTTCCAAGATATAAGTAATCATTAAAAGCATAGCTTACCCTAAGTTCCCTGCATTCAACACATGTTGTAGATATCACTCTCATCATAGGAATGGATAGGAGTTAGACTTCCTTTAGTGATTTCTGGCGAGCCACACATAACTTAGTTGTCCCTTTGAACTTAGTTCTTGGGATCTCCAGTCATCTAAGTAGGGTTACCATTATGATGACTCTGATATAATAGGCTTTAATCACATTCCCCTCGATAAACTTTCCCTCATTTGCCCTTTGGTCAAACTTTTTGTTTAGCGGCCGCTATTTTTCCGTTTGACCTTCTCAATTAGATATCATTGAGTAGTTAATGAATCCATTATTAGACAATATTCACAACTAAAAGCAAATGTCATACGGTGTCAAGTCTTTGATTACATCGAGACTTATCGTTACTCTATGTCACTCCCATTTAAATAATAAACATAGAGTTGTTCCTTAGGAGTTAATGAAACCATTGTTGTTTCTACTCTAAGGAGTTAATGAAACCATTGTTGTTTCTACTCCAACTTTGTCCTATATAAAGAATTGAGATTCTTTGTGGACCTATTATCGGAACCGTTACTTTGGTAAAATCCTCCAAGCACTCCCACATTTTAAGCATTCTAAGGAGACTTAATTCCTCTTGTTGATGTATAATTATACAAAATATTAATACACCCCCACAATTCTGAGATAAATCAGAATATATCATTAATTGACGTGCTTGAACTAAATAACAATATGTAAACTATTTTGTGAATATAATCACAATACTAATTTGTCTAAAGCAATTGGACTTCATAATTTACTTTTGCAGTACAAAGAAGAAACCACTAAAACCAGTTGTGGCCACAACACTTTGTCAAATAACATTTCTTTAGCCATGATTAATTTCTTTTTGTTTACTGCAACCCTTAATTCCAATCTCAACATGGAATATCACTGAATAAACACATTTACATCTTATTTGTCTTATCCAGTATTGGTGACTACGTTAACAATTACCAAAGTGTCTTTCACCCATGAAATATTTTTAACTTATAATATTTCATTATGGAGTTATCGGTCACCACACCAATTTTAGTCTTTATTCCAAAGAATAATTATTCCTCTTATGTAAAAACACATAAGTTCACATTTTTATCAATACTTTGATAAATAATTGACAATTGGTTGGAAAGATATGTTTTTGTGAAAGATATGTTTTCGAATTAACAGGAAGTCTTTGAAGTATATTCCATATCTTTATCCTATACTACGGAATTTAGTTAAAATTCTTTGCCTGCTTTACTTGCTTTGGATCAGGTTGTTGCTATCAACAAATTTAAATTTTCAGACATGGTTTTTGCCTGATATCAGGTTGCTAATAACATGTCCACAATTGTCAACTTGTTTTCAGAAACTATTTTCTGTTCACAGGGGAAAAAAAAAATACAAATATTTGTTTGGCAAACTGTTTCCAGAAACTGCAATATATATACATCTTTTTCCTGATGAGTCCTGTGTATTGAAATACGGTTTTGACCCATGGGTTTTGATTTTTAAATTTAAAACCATGTATATGGTGACTTGATAATAGAATTTTATTTTATTTATTTATTTATTTTTTTATAAAAAAAAAGAAATTTTTACAGCCTGTTTAAAATTTTGTTTTCCATTATTCAAAGTGTCTTTGACGTTATACAATAAGACACCTTTTTCTCTTTAAATTTTGTGTGATAATAAAGCAATATATTGTTTTTATATGCCTGGTTTGAAGTGGTTAAATCCATATATTGGATTTAAGTCATTGGGTCTAAGGTTTCATATTTATATTCATGGTTTATTGTAACCCACAAGATTATTTGTGGAAATTTCAAGAATATATTTTAAAATCAAGTTATGATTTTCATTATAAAAATCAAGATATTACTTTTCGTTGGTGATCTCTTGAAGCTTGAGAAAATATAGAGTATATGTTATATGCTTGGGTAAATTTTCTGGATAAATAAATTAGAATATCTAATTTATGTAATTTGTATTTGAATGGAAATTTTATATTGATTGGTCAATCTATGATTCAAAACAAATACAATCACAATTTAATTGGAAGTAGTTTGAGACATCTTTTGTGTTGATTATTATTTTTTAATAATTAATTGAAAGTTATTTTTCAAATAACTTTAAATTTTGTGAGATAGGATGTCTTCAATCTTTATTTCCCGTGTATGGTAGATTTGGTTAACCTTGTATCATGTTCTTACTGTGGGAATTTATCTTTTGAATTAAAAGAGATAATTCCATTTTTGTCCCATATATATATATATATATATTTATGAGTTATTTTTTGTGACCGTGTCACTTGTCTGGGAATGAATCATGTTGTTTGTGCTAATTTACCTATTATCACAAATGTAGGGGAAGAGAGATTCCATGTCTACATATGTTGTAGAGTTGACAATCAATTTATGATATCCTTAATATCAATTTGGTATGCATATAGCAGGCACCGGTTTTGGCCATATTGGAATATCTTCAAGGAAGTGGCGAAGCCATTCTGCCTCTTCCCCTGCTTTGTCTAAAGCTATGAATTCAGATTCCATAGTAGACCTAGCAATACAAGTCTGTTTGGAAGATTTCCAAGATACAGCCGCTCCACCAAGAGTAAAGACATACCCACTGGTGGACTTCGAGTCTCTAGTATCCGATATCCAATTTGCATCACAGTATCCTTCAAGTACTGTTGGATATCTAGTATAGTTAAGCCCAATATTACGAGTAAATCGGAGGTATCTTAGAACCCTTATCATTGCTTTCCAGTGTTCTACTCCCGGATTACTCGTATATCTACTAAATTTACTTACTGCATAAGCTATATCTGGGCGAGTGCAGTTCATCAAGTACATTAAGCTTCCAATCTGGACAACACAAAGGAACAAAATTATCACTGGTTTTTTTTTCCGATCTCAAATCTGCTGAAAAAGTTTGTATTTATAGGCAACCAAAAATGGTCCGAACAGATACCACTGTATAAGTGAAAAGGTGCAAACCAAACACTAAACAATGCACTCATTAATGAACGGAGGTTTTTGTCCGTTAGTGAAAATAAATGTCCGTTTTTGTTTCTTGTCCGTTAGTGCAAGAGCACAAAATTCAACCAATCAAAAGTGAACCGTTGGTGGACCAAAAACAAATATGTTGCCACTTTACTTATTTAATCTATTTCAAATATATATAAATATATATAACTATTGAAATAGTTAAATAAATAAATAAAAAGGTACAAACTTTAGGAAACATTTAAGGAACCTAAAATTTAAATTTAGAATTAAATTAAATTCTAAAATTACACATTTTAAGAAACCACTTAGGA